ACCTTGGCAAGGGTATAGAAACTGACTACTAAGTGGATCTACTAGTCTATGCTAAAAAGCACTAAGGAATCATCTAAAAAGTATGACCCTTTTCTACCCTTGGTGGCTACATGATTTATGAGGGTTGGGAGTTGTCTGAACCCCCCCCCCCCATATGAGTGCTCAATGATACTCCCAAAATATACTAGCTCAATATGTTTTAAAACAGAACTCTGTGGTTTGAGATAATTGCTCAAAACTTAGCTCAAAGACTCTCTTGAAAATCAATGTTTCCTCTCTTGCTTAATTGTGAAAACATTTACTCTTAACTGAAAAACTAGCTCAAATGCTCTTTTGGAAATCAAAGTTTCCTCTCTTGTTTAAATGTGAAAACATTTTATCCATTTGGGAATACATAGTTCCTATATACTCTTTTGAAGAAATGAATTTCAACTCTTACTCTTTACTCAACTCAAAACTCAAGTCTTGAAACAAAGTTAAAACGTTTGTAAAAGACTTTTGGAAAACTCTATGAACTTCTCTTGACTTGACTCTTAACTTTCCTTGAATTGAATTATGGATTCAAGGCCCATGATCTCATGTTATGGATGATTTCATGTTGTTTAGACGTACCTTAGAGTATAGAAATCAACTAGGAAACATAGGTACGTTACAAGGAAACTAGTATGGAAAGAAGTGGGAAAAAGTAGAAGACCTGGCCTCCCTGACGCTCTGAGTGGCGCGGGGCGCCAAAGCTAAAACTTCAGAAGCAGGGTTGGGGCACACTGGCTGGCGCGGCACCCCAGGGCCCTAACTTCAGACACTGATGTGGGGCGCACTAGCTGGCGCAGCGCCCTACCCCCATTCCCAGAATTCTGACGATTTTTCTTGGTCGTTTTTCAACTCTAAATCCTCTAAACTCAATTGGGTCTTTCCCCAAACACTTAGATTCAACTACATAATCAAAATATGCAAGAATATACTCAAAATGACACCTAATTTCATGAATCTAAATCAAGAACTCCTCAACAACTCCCAAAATCAAGAACCCAATAGAAACTTCAAACAAATCCATCAAGAATTCAATTTCTAAACCTTCAAGAATCTAAATTCGATGAAATAAATCATGATTGGCGCGTGGATGAACTAACCCAACGCTATGTGATCTCACATACCTCGTAGGGATCACCCCTTGATGAAATCCACAATCTTAACTTCAAGAACTTGATGATTCCTTGTCTCTTCTCCTCTTTTCTCCTCTTATTTTCTCTTCTCTCAAAACCTTAACTCTTTTTGATGAAACGTAAACTGAACCAAATCAGTTTAGACCCCATCTTAATTACCAAAAATGAAATTAAATAATTGGGTAGTAAAAAGACCATAATACCCTTCTAAAATCCGGTTTTGACTTTCCTTATCTAGACAACCCAACTTCAAATAGACACATCTCCCTCATACGAACTCGGAATTGAGTAAACTCGGCGGCGTTGGAAAGATAAATCAAAGATATTTTCTACGATATCTCGTAGCACACCTAAATCATCCTGAGCTAGGAGTTATGGTCGTTTGAATTTGACCCAAAACTCAAACTTAACATAACTTAACCAATTTTCCAGATTTTTCATTCTTTTAAAAAATGACTCTTTCTAATTCTAGCTCTTTCTAGTTGCGGGGTGTTACATGTTCTCTCTCCACTAGACCTAAAGGAAAATGGGGTTGTTTAACAACTAATTGTTACTCATTTGTTTCATGGTATTAGCCATATTTCACTCTTGTGATGCCCAAAATTCACCCTAAGACTATCTTGTGGTTCACAACGATGCTTGTGCCCAAGTCGGGGTTGGGCCAATGTCATGAGATGCCATCTTGGCAACCCAAGCACAAAACTATGCCAACTCAAGAATTAGTGATTGCAACTTGATTCATTCTGGTGCTGTGGAGAACCTTTCCAAGAGTGGGGGAGACAACACAGGGAGGCGTGCCATGCAATTGTGGGTGTCAGAAAAGCCAAACTACAACTATGCTACCAACCAATGTGCTAGTTGGAAAGTGTGCGAATACTATACTCAAGTAGTCTGGCGCAAGTCAGTTCGATTAGGTTGTGGTCGGGCTCGTTGCAACAATGGATGGTGGTTCATTTCTTGCAACTATGATCCTATAGGCAATTGGGTCAGACAGCGTCCTTACTAAAGTGTGTTAACTTATGGCATGTTGCTAGTATTAAATAAAATTACTATTTCCCTTTGATGTTGCTAGTATCAATAACTCCACGTACCAAATGTTCATGGTATAGTGCGACTTGTTTCCATTAAACATGACTACATAAAGTTATTCCTATTTTACCTTTCTAAAATTTTGTCTTTCTTTAAATAAGATTAAAAATGATTGATTCTATGTAAATTAATAGAATAATTGTATAAGCAAATTAATTATCAAACTATTTACCCTTATTAATGGACCATGCCTCAAACTATTTACCCGCTTACCTCACTTTCTTCTTTCTTATTTCGTGCATGATATCAATATGACATCAATATCACTACTATGAATTAATCTTTTGTGATACTCTGTTTGTATGTTGATACTTTATCAGTATCATATAGGATTTACTTTTTTAAAAGAAATAATTAAGAGAATTATTAAAGTCACAATCTTATTTATTAAACTCTAAATTAGTAGAAAATATATTTTTATATTTTTTAAAATTAAAATATTGAAAGAATTGAAACATACCTCAATGATACCACGATAGCATGTAGATATACCGTAATGGTATCGTGGATGATTGAATATTCTCATCAAAGGACTGAAGCAAAACTTAATGAAAACACTATTTAGTTACTCATTGATACCACCAGAGTATATTATACTTTGATGATATCAAAGAGGAAGAAATAGTCCTTTAATGAAGAAACTATTCGGTTACTCTTTGATACCATTAGAGTATATTCATATACGACTTTATTATATTGTAATGGTATCAGAAAGGAAAAAAAAAGTGAACGTTGACATCAACATGACGTCAACGCGCGAATAAATATAGATATATGTCATTTTAAAATAAAAAGGGGTATGAAAGTAATAAAATATTTAAAGATAAATATTTTACTTTTTTGGGGATATAAGTATTTTTTTCCCTAATTAATATAATGTTGGTTATGAGTTCAGCGGCAATGCCAAATAGGGAGTTGCTCAGATGGTAAGCACCCATCGCTTTCAACCCGAAGGTTGCGAGTTCGAGTCACCAAGGGAGCAAAAAGAGGTGGGAGCTCCTAGGGAGGGTAAAAAAATAAAATAAAAAAAGACTACTACCAAGAATAGAGCACACAACCTTCTATAAGTTTTGCAACCCCTTAACCACTACACTAAACCTTTATATATATATATATATATATATATATTCATTGAATTAAATTTGACTTATATATATAATGTAATTTTCTGACGAAGGAGATGTCGCTCGACACCCCTTCGCTCTAAGGTAGATCCGCCCCTGATAATTATATTTGATTTTCAAATTAGGTTGATTAACCACGGTGTAATTTTGACTGACTCAAACTTGCAAGTCTTTCCCAAAACAAACAAGTAATTCCAAACAATTTAATTCAGTCAAATAAATATAATAGTATTATCACCAAATTACGGAAAAGTTAGCATATTGTCATTCTCCAAATCAAAATCAGTGAATTAAACTATGTAGAAAATCCATAATAATAATAATTTAAAAAAATTCAAAATAAAACTCTACACTTACGTGATGGAACAAGAATTCAACATAGTGACAAGCTAGATAGGTGGTCAGTTGAACATCTTTCATCAAAAAAATTAATTTTATATATAAAAAATTATGTGAAATACGTACCTTAAAAACTATTTTAGGTGCGCCATATATTTATTAAGCATATCAAACAATTTATTCTCTTTATAATACTTATCTAAACACGTAACTATTTATTCGTAAATTCAACTTCAACCCTTCAAAACGTTTTTAAAATTAATAATTCTCATTTGAAGTTGCCAGGATGTGAGGCAGTTAATTTCTACACAAAGGACCAAATTTTTGTTCTGGTTTAAGTGTCCATCACTCTTTCTCTCTCTCATACAATAATTTTCTCCCAATAGATTGAGGGAGGCTCAATAATATCGATGTCTTAAAATCAAATTTTCATAAAATATTTTATAAGTAAAAATTGAATCGCACCCTCTCTTGATCAGAGGTTTCAAGTTCGAATCCTAAAATGAAAATAAATACTGCTAGATAGAACTTCCCTTTAAAGATACTTACGTGATCCAAATCAAATTAATTAGGACTCTAGCACACATTCAAGACATTGTATAAGAAAAAAAAATTGTATTTCAGACCCCTATAATTTTGGAGTCTAAAACCCTTATTTTAGTCACGTCCATGCTTCGCAAGGCTGTAGAACATGTGTGAGCCTCTATTTAATGGAAAAAAATATACATCTTTATGCTTCACGAGGTTGTAGAACATGTGTGAGCCTCATCTAATAAAAAAAAATATACATCTTTTTAATAATTCAAGTCTTCTTATGTTCTATAGACTTTTTATTCCACCCAAAAATGCTTAATTAGTCTTGTTTAAACCTTATTTTGATAATATGATTTTGAAAAAAACAAGAATTATCTAGATTAAAGTATGACTATTCTTTAAAGCATATAGTATTCCCTAAATCACACGACATGCGAGGTACTAAACACATTTGAATTTTCTTTACATGAAAAATAAAATTCCACAATGTTAAAATTTAATAATCAAAGTTTGATAAAAATCTAATCAAGATAAAAAATGTTCATTTTGAAAAACTTAAAGGACCAAAAGTAATTACTTCCAAGAAATTGAAGGAACAAAATGGCTCAACGAAATACACAAGAGACTATTTTGAACTTACTATTAAAGATAAGAGACCATTTTTATCATTTCCTCTACTAATTTCCTTTGAATTTTCTTCACACAGGCTAAAAAAAATTCCACAATTAATTTTACTTATAAATACACTACTTATCTCACATTTATAATCACAATAACTTAGATTTATTTTCTCTCCACTAAACCTAAAGCAAAATGGGGTTGTTTAACATCTCATTGTTACTCACTTGTCTCATGGTATTAGCCATATTTCACTCTTGTGATGCCCAAAATTCACCCCAAGACTATCTTGCGGTTCACAACGATGCCCGTGCCCAAGTCGGGGTCGGCCCAATGTCTTGGGATGCCGGTTTGGCATCCCGAGCACAAAATTATGCCAATTCAAGAACTGGTGATTGTAACTTGATTCATTCTGGTGCAGGGGAGAACCTTGCCAAGGGAAGTGGTGATTTCACGGGGAGGGCAGCTGTGGAATTGTGGGTGGGGGAGAAGCCAAACTACAACTATGGTACCAACCAATGTGCAAGCGGACAAGTGTGCGGACACTATACTCAAGTAGTCTGGCGTAACTCAGTCCGACTAGGTTGTGGTCGGGCTCTTTGCAACAATGGGTGGTGGTTCATTTCTTGTAACTATGATCCTGTTGGGAACTACGTCGGACAACGTCCTTACTAAAATGTGTTTACTTATGATGTGCAAGGGATTAAATGTACGTCTATAATTATTATTATTTCCCTTCGATGTTGCTAGTGTGAATAATTCCACGTACCATATGTTCATGGTATAGTGGGCTTAAGTTGATAATTAAGTATGGAAATACATAAAGTTTTTCCTTGTTTTAAAAAAAAAATCTTTTCTTAAATAAGATTAAAATACATGGCATAATGATTGTATAAGTAAAATAATTATTGTCTTCTGCACGTGGCAAGATTCAAATTACGAGAGTTAAATTATTAATTTTTTAGTGTAAAGTTGAGCGTAGATTCTTTATATCTTATAAAATGAATTATATATTTAAAAACTGCTTAAAATGGTTTAAAATAAAATGTACTAGTTAATAACTTGAAATGTTTTTTTAAGATGTGATTAAAAAGAATATATTTTTGACTCCCCAAATAATTATATTGTTAGACACATAAATTACCATTGGGTGGACCGATGAGTCAATTGTGGAAATTTCAATCAATTATTGAGCAACTTTGTATTAAATTAAATTTTGAATTAAAATATTTGTAAAGTATGTGGCACACAAGTTAACATTGTGAGTCCTTCTGATACAAAGCAGCATTTGTTATTTTACTTTTTAATGTGAGATTTTTCGATGCGAATTTAAATTTAAGCAAATTATTCTTAACGAAAGGTCTCATAGTCGAGTCCTAGATATATGTAGAGTCGTACTTGATAGAAAACAATTTACCCTCACAGACTTTATGATGCTAATCGAGAGAATTACTTTTCAAAATAATCCAAAACCATTAATTAATATATGTCCAATTTAGGGTTGCATGAAATCGTAATATTTCTAGAACAATTTTAGATTAAGTTAATTAATCCCTTAGTTACCCAATGATACTGCAACTTGATTGACCTAGACTTGCAAGTTGCAAGCTTTCTCCAAAACAAACAAGTATTGGGGAATAATTAATAATTCCAAGCTCAATAATTTACTTTAATTTAAATGCAGTCAAATAAATACAATAATATTTTATTGAGAATTCAAGGAGTTAGCCAGTTAGGTAGGTTATGGTAATCATTATTAGTATTAGTATTGACTCTGTAGTAAAATTTGAGTATAAATAGCTAAAAAAAACATATTGGGCATTTGTCGGAGATCCGGCTTCTTTCCATTTCTTTTCTTTCCATTTTTCCTAAGTTTTTGTTTAGATATGAGACACGTAGCATAGGTAAGAATTAATAGATGAGATTTGATTGGTTAAAATAAAATTCTAATTATAACTTAGATATAATTAATAATTTATAAAAATAGTAATGCCACAATCATAGAAATATATTATCTTGTCCATAATTAGTCTTATAATTAAGGACTGAAATCTTATTTATATGGGAACGTGTGTTGTTGTATTCTAATTTACCGATTTATCTTTTATTTGTTTTGTTTTGTAAAATGCTATTGCTATGTAGGTGAAAAGTTAAAACTAGGGGTGTACAAAATCGAACCAAACCGCAAATCGAGTCCAACCGAGAAAAAAAACCCGACTAGTGGTTGGTTTGACTTGGTTTGGTATTGAAAAAAAAAACCCAACTATATTTGGGTTGGTTTGGTTTTAACTAACAAAAACCAACCCGAGACCAAATCAACCCGACATTGTAAATATAATTTTAAAATTTTATTTTATACATAAAAATATTTACTTTGATATAATTTTTAAATATTTCTTATACTTTTTCATAATTTTTATCTTTTAATATATTATTTCAAGTTTGAAACTTAGATGATTCAATAAAGATCACAGTCCACAGATGTTGATAATTATAATAAAGCTTAAATCAAAATCAAATTAATACTAATGCAAAAAGGAAATCAATTCAACACTAAAAATGAAAATAATATTGAATATGGATTTTACATTGGTTTAGACAATTCAAATACATAATCTAATTTTAATTTCCTTTAATATTTAGTCATGTAACTAATACTTATTAAACTTATTTTAGCATGATTTAGTACTTTTAAATTATGATCATTTTTATTATGACTTGTTAATTTGCAATATTTGTTTTACGTGATTTCATTATTATTATTATTATTTTGTTGGATATTTTAGTGTCATTACTCATATCATATTTTGTGTTATTTTCTTAAGAAACACCTTAAATAGTTGTATTTTGGTAGGACTAAAGAAATATTTGAAGTACAAGTAAATTATATGTTTGTATGAATACTTTACTGGAAAAACCCAAAAAAATCCGAAAAATCCGAAAAAATCCGATAAAACCCGAGTTTTATTGGTTTGGTTTGGTTTATAGATTTAAAAATCCGACACAAATGGTTTGGTTTGATATTTGAAAAATCCGAACCAACCCGGTCATGTACACCCCTAGTTAAAACTATGGTTATATAGGGGTTATTTAGGTGCTTAAATTGTATATTTAAGTTTTTAACCCATTATTTTGTTGAGTCCGGAGTCAAAAGGGCAAGGTTTTTCCTAAAAAAACATAAACGGTATACCAAAAAAAAATTAAACACAAAAGGGAAAAATGGCTACCTAGGGAGCCATATTTTTTAACGCCGTGTATGCCGCCGTCAAAAACTTATAAAAAAAAAGTTAAATTCGTAACATCGCTATCTCAGCAGCGTTTTATTGTAAATCGCTGCATCAGCAGCGTTATCCAATTTATTTTAAAAAAAAAAAACATTAAGGAAAATTGGCAATTTTTAAACATCAAGAAAAATTTCTGCCAAAGAAGCGATAGTTTTAAACAAAAAATTAGAAAATTGCTGCCATTGCAGCAAATTCAGTTTTTAAATTAAAATGGCTACAAATTTAATTTATTTTAAAGAAAACGTTGGATAGTGATTTTAGAGTTTTTTTTTTTTTTTTGAAAAAACGCTGCTTAATCAGCGATTTAAGATTAAAATTTTTTTTTGGACATTTTACAAAAAAAAAAAAAAGAATTTGGCCAAAATCGCTGTTGGAGCAGTGATTTTAAATAAAGGTTTTAACTGTGTGCACAACGTTAAAATATATCGCTCCTTCAGTAGTGATTTTGCCGTTTTGGTTTTTAAAAAAATTGATATACCGTTAATGTTTTTTTGAAGAAAAAACTTGCCCTTTTGGCTCCGAACTTTTATATTGTTTGTGTGTTCTTGTTTATAACAATTAATTGAGATCTAAACATCAAATATCAGTATACACATATAACAACACCACACTATAATATTCATGAAATTTTTAGACAAACACTGCCACTATAACCAGGTTTGACTGTATCAATTAGTTGTGATCACAAGGTTGGTAGAACGAGAATAGTGCCCAAGTGAGATTTGAAAAAAAAATAGAATATAGGGATAGAGAGATTGTTTCTGATATTCAAGATACGCAATTAATAGTCAACATCTTAACAACATAAACAGCCAATCAACTCCAATAACATCAAATAAAATCTGCAAACTACATACATACATCTGTTCTAACCAGCTATACAAGACCATCACCAAGGAACCCCATATCCGTTGCAACTAGTGTTTGGGCGTTTTTGCTCGAGTTGTACGAAATGAAAGTCTCATACACGATTCTCAGAGGGAGAATTTCGTCTATCTCAATAAAGTACGTGATTGGTTCGAATACGCCATGTGATCATCCTTGGATATAAAGTCACTACTATAGAAATTGACATCAAATGCATTTTTCCACCAACACAAATGACCACATTCTAAAGAAAGAAGGATTCAGAGTTGGATGGCATAATACATAAATGTGTCCTTCAACTTGGCCTCAACTGACATTTATGCCCTCAAACTTTGTGTATGCATAAATAGACACTTACACTTTATATACACACGTGTCCTACGTGGCGTCCTACGTGTACACAATGTAGGACGACATGTGTGTCTACTTGCTCAACTTTATACAAGTTTAAGTACCTACTTGTGTACACTCAGGGGCGGCTCTAAGGCATGGCCAGTGAGGCCATTGCCTTAGGCCTCAAAAATTTGAAGGCCCCAAATTATTTAAATTATCGTTATTGATTTTATTATATGTTAATATAATTTATATAAATAAAATTTTTATGGTATATTTATTATTATTATTTATTTGAGAGTATTTTTTACCAATAAATTCATAAAATCTCATAATCTTTTCACCTCATTATTTGATATCTTTGTTTTAACTTCCGATTTTAAATTTTATCCTTTTTATATAAGAACTAAGTTATATATGTGATAACATAATGAATTTTTGTTTCAATCTTTTCTTAAACTGCGTGAACACAAAAACATTCATGCACAAGTTTCCTTTTCATTTTAATTTAATATATTATATGAAAGTTTTATAATTTATTTTAGATATTCACCAATAAGTGCTACTTAATGGAATGAATTATATCATTTAAATTGATCAGAAACTTGATAAGGAGGTGTATATATTTTTGTTATTACTATCCATACTCAAAACCTTAACTATTAACTTTAATTTAATATATTATATGAAAGTTTATAATTTATTTTAGATATTCACCAATGAATGCTACTTAATGGAATGAATTATATCATTTTAAAAATATTATATCATTTAAATTGATCATAAATTTGATAAGAAGGTGTATATATTTTTCTTACTATCCATACTTAAAACCTTAACTATTAAGTTAATGTTCACTACAACAAAAACAACTTTTAGCGGCGATAAATAGACACATTAATAAAGAATGCTAAAGTTTTTACTGGCATTAGTTAAGTGTCATTAGATTCAATGTCGCTAAAGGCTTTAGGGACATATACAAAGAGTGTTAATTGCCGCTAAAAATACATATTTAGCAGCAATTGAGCTATTGTCGTTAATTAATTGCTGCTAAAGATCATTTTTGATGTAGTGGTTTTTTTATTTTTCTTATTTGATGATAGCCAAATTAAAATTTCAATTTGAGGTTTGAAGCTTAACATCGATAATCCATCACTTTATTTTTTTTACTCTTCTTCCTTCTTTTTTTTGTGTGAAATTTGCTATTTTTTGTCTTAAATAATTAATCTATTGTGTAGAAAATAAATTTTCTTGTTAGTGTATAAATTTTATAAAATAAATTTAAGGGCCTCTTAATATGATTTTGCCTTAGGCCATGAAATCTGTTGAGCCGCCCCTGTGTACACTGCAGGTTGGAGAGCCTAGATGTCAGTTGATGTCAAGTTAAATGGTATATATTATTCATGTATTATGCTAGGACAAGGGACAAGGATAGTAAATCACATTGAAGGTCCCAAACAGATAAATTGAAGTCAACGTCCTTCAACATTTGAAATAGAAATGGAATTTCTGGAGCAAGGTGAAATATTTGGATCATCAGAGCCTCTGCTGCTATATGCCGGTCGCTTAGGCGGAGGAAGAAGTGTGTCACTGCAGAGCATGGAAACAATTGTAGCTGTATTTGGCCTGTAACTTGCATGTTCTTGCACACAAAGCAATCCCACAATGATGCATCTAACAACTTGTGTTGGTGTTTCAAGTGAACCAAACACCTTTGGATCCGGAAACTCGAGTATCTTGCCTTCATTCCACAGTTGCCATGCCTATAAAATCCATTGATATTAGTTTTGTCATGTGAAAATAGTAGTAGTATAGGATAGAAGAATATTCAAGTCCATTCAGACCTCTCGATAACAATCATCCTCGGCCAAATTTTTCTCGAACTTCCATATTATGTTATATTTATATGTTCTTTATACTACATTTTCGCTATAGCAGCTAGACAAGAAATTACGTTATTATAAAGAGGTTTGACTGTATATGAGAAAATGAGAAATTCTTTCAGTTTTTCTCTTTTTTCACCTGGTCCGGGAGGTTGCGAGAGTCTTCAGAGTGACAATAGCTGTTGTTTCTTTTACTGCTGATAATCTCTAACAATATGACACCAAAACTGAAGACATCCGACTTCTCGGAAAAAATTCCTTGTATTGCATATTCAGGGGACATGTAACCACTGCATTGATACACAAATATACAATTTAGTTATGATGAATTTCACTGCTATATATGAACAATCAATACTTACTAGGTACCGGCAATCCTGTTGGTATTTGCTATAGTTTGATTCCCTCCGAAAATCCTAGCCATTCCAAAATCTGAGATTTTGGGATTCATATCTTCGTCTAACAGAATATTGCTTGACTTAAGATCTCTGTGAATGATTTTTAGTCGTGAATCACGATGCAGATAAAGAAGACCTCTAGCTATCCCTTCAATGATACTATATCGTTGATTCCAACTCAATGCCGCCTTATCATTAGATCTTGATCCTCCTGCCAAGCACAAAGAGCAATTTAATCATAATTCATCAAGAAAAGTACTGTTTAAGTACTCTTGTTAATTAGCTAACCGAATATGAAAACGTCTAAGCTTCTGTTGGACATGTATTCATAGATCAGCAACTTTTCCTCCCCGTGAACGCAAAACCCCATCAGTTTGACTAAGTTTCTGTGTTGAAGTCCAGAAATCAGTGTAACCTCATTCTTGAACTCTTCAATGCCTTGTCCTGAGCTCCTCGAAAGTCGTTTAATAGCAACCTCTTGTCCATTTGCTAATACCCCCTATATATGAATCACACATGACTTCAACTAATAAGCAAATGAGTATAAACCATGTGAAATTTGCTCTACTTTTTCGATGATTAAAGCACACACGAGTGATATATATATATATACCTTGTATACAGGTCCAAATCCCCCCTCTCCAAGTTTATTTCGATAGCAAAAGTTCTTAGTAGCAGTTTCTATGCACTTGAAGCTGAAAACTGGTAATTCTGTACTTCTACCTTGAGTAAAACTGTTATGAAGCAAATTTGTTGCTGAAGAGTGTTTTGAAGCTATGCGAAAAGGGACTAAACTCCCAATGCCTGATAAAATCTAGTAAAAATTAAAGTCTTTCCAAAAGATAGCGAAAAGTTGTGCCTCTAACAACTGTAAAAATTGACTCTTTTTTTTTTTTTTTTTTTACCTTTTTTCCTGATCTTCAATACATATATAGTGCAAACAATAAGAATCAGGCCGAATGTCGCTGAGACAATAATTGCAATATGGGCTCCCGTTAGCATCCTCCTCTTATCTGCATGACAAAAGGCAACTCGATAAGAAAACAACTAAAACATGAGGTCTCAAGTTCAGATTCTGATGAAAGCAAAACCATGCTAGGTGTTTTTTCACATCTACTTAAGCCTTAGTGAGCAGAATTACTCAGTATCCCTATTGGTGAGAGGTAGCAAGTACTCGATGGAATAGGCAGAGCTACAAGCCTGTCTACAGAGTCTGTAGAATCCAGTAGCTTTGGGCTAGACCATATATTATTTGTGTTTAAGAATCCATTTAATAAGTATAAATAATTTAGTCAAGACCCAGTAATTTGTTTTTTCTAGAATCCAAAATCCATAAACTCAAAATCCTAGCTCTGTCTCTGAGAATAGTTCAGGCGCACTAAATTTGGCCCGAACACTACAGTCATAAAAAGAGAATGTGAATCCAACAAATGATTAGAGACAAATAACATAGGCAAACTACTAAAACAAATCCAAAATGAAGTGAAGTTTTGTTCGAGTAGTAATAAAATGGGATGTTTATAGAGAAAATTGGTGCTATGTTGCTCAGTCTCTTCAAAAGTATTGTCGTGTGCATGTCGGATCCTCCAATAATAGTGTGTTTTTTGGAGGATCCGATACGGGTGCAACAACGTTTTTGGAGTGTCCGAGCAACATAGAATTGGTGTATCTGTATCTACCAAGTTGGGAATGTGCGAGGCGAATGTATAGTTGCTCTCCACCACGGGTGAACTCTTGGAGGTCAATAAGTTCTTTTCCCCAAATCATGCAGCCTATTCCATCCACATAAGCATATGCCAAACAAGAACAATTCTTCAAGCAAGAATTTTCGCATTCCATTTTATCCCAAGTAGGTAGGTAATGTGAGAAATCTGGTAGTTTCATCCCTGAAACGGATAAAAACACATCCCCTCTCTTTCTCTCATCATCAGAATTCGGACTAGTGATCGTCTCCTCACACTGAAATTGTGCTCTCCGGACACAACCACTAGTCCAATTCCCCTCGTTCCATTCACCGATAGACTTTGGTTCATAGCCCTTCAAACATTTGCATATTGGTGAATCATTATCCTTGCAACTTCCAAAAGGACCACATGTGTTATACAAATCACATTGACCTTTAGGTACTACCTGCACCTTTAACCATTTATTCTCTTCTGCATCCCAATCCATTTGAATTATCGCTCCGTAGGAATCAAAGTATATCAATGTTGGAGCAGAGTAATTGAGTATAGCATAAGTAAAATAAAGTTCCTCCCCATTATTATCCATAAGTAGTTGAAAGCCATTGTGGAAGTCTTTAGTCATGCTAGGCACTCCTATGAAACTTCTCCGGTTCCACTGCCCCGATCTGAAATGCTTCGATGAGCCATTCAAAATAAGTACTTGTAAAAGTTCATGAGGATCCACCACAGCAGTGCTAAAACTTCCCAGTGATGGATTTTTCTCATCTTTCCACGACGTGACGACTATTTGCTCCCCTGTTCTAGTATTCTGCCCAATCTTCATACGAGGCAAGAGAGTATCGGATGGATGATTGAAGCTCTCCCATAACAGTACAGATTCATTCAACTCGTTCTTATCGCGGAGAACAAGATTCCCCTGATCAGTCAGCACAGCAATTGTGTTATTGTTCGATACCAGATTAATTTCTGTAGACCAGACAGGCATATTTTTATCATCCACAAGGACTAAATTTCCATCACTTGCATTAATCATAAGAACTCCATATGATCCAATTGCTCTTTCGCGGTTTGCAACCCATGCAACTTTTTCAACTGGTAATCCCTTGTACCATATCCCGACATATCGCCCTTGGGATCCATTAGGACTGAAGAAACCAAGCTCAAAGATACCTCCTGCTGAAACTAATGTTTCACCATCTACAACTTGTTGGTTCATTGATATAGTATCTGTTGCTACGCAAATCGCATTCATTATTAAAGGACATAGATAAGAAATTACAAGGACTATGATTAGCTTTCTAATAATTCTAGCCATGTTATTTCAGATCATAATACTCAGAAAACAATACGACAAATAGTGGTTAAACAAAAACTTTCTTTGAAGCATTTCACAAAAAGTCAACAGAATTTGATCAGGCTTAGCTTGTCTATTACATAAACCAGTGTGAAAAGGACATGCAAAATAGTTAAATCAACAAATGATACTATTTTATGTTTGAAACATGATCATAATTTATAACAACAGAAAGTCAAACTCTTCCCTTACACCTTTAATTATTTGATGAAAGACTTTTGCTTTAGTTTAGAAAACCCATTCTACACCCCATAGTGATGGCAAACTCACAAATGGAGAGTTCATTTCTCATATAGTCACTCAATTAATTAATAGTCATATTAGAAAACCAAGCCTTTCTTTTTTATTCCAATTTTTCTCAATAAAGAATTCAATTTTCTGAGATAATAACTATAAGTGACCATTTGAGAAATCAACCCCAAAAATGGACATTGAAGTAGAGTTTTCTTCAAATCATCAATAGTACAGACCATTTAAGGAGAAGGAAAATAACCTAACCAAATGTCTGATTTGTTTCTTGGTTCAAAATATTTTCTTAATTTAAAACTAAAAAATCTGAATCTAGTTATACATTTGAATACTAAGATGTGAATTAAGATTCAAATTTTGAATGATTAAGACTGTTTATTTTTTAATAGCTGGATGTCAATTGATGATTTTGTTGGTGATGGTGATGGTTAATAGCTAATGGTAACGGTGGCTGAAAATAGTAATTAACAGTGGATGTTGTTGATCATGGTGGTTGGTGATGACAATTAATAATTGTGATGGATAATAGTAACAGCTAATGGTGATGGTGATAGATGACGTTGATTGGTGATATATATCGTGGTGGTTGATTGTTGTTAGTGACTAATAATTTTAGTGGAGATGATCGTAAATGGTGACTAATAGTTGTGACGGGTGACAACTGACATATTTGATTGGCGGTGGTGATAGTTGTGACTGAAGATGGTGGTTATAGGTGGTAATTAATAATGGTGGAAGACGATTAGTAGCAAAACTAGATGGAGTAGTAATGAATTGTATGTCATCTTTGTAGAAACTTTTAAATAGACATCTTATTAATATTACAACTTAGTTATTATATATATAAAAAAAAAAAAATTGTTAATACATAGAAAGATGGAATATTTTAGGTGTACCTACAATATGCTACCAATAATGTAGCAAAATGACAAAAGTTCAAATTATAATCCATCCTTCTATTACTATATGTCTTCTTTATATAAAAAAATATGTCCAAAACACAAGTTAATGTCTTTTTTTCTCTAACGCCTCATTGACTAATGACTCAAAACGTCAATAAAAGTAGTTAAAGCTCATCAAGAAACAGTATTTCTTTATTAAGCAAGACAAGTGTAACGCCATACATTAAATTTTCTGTTCATCTCTTCTTGTTTTTATATACAAACTAAAATCTTACTGTGTTAGATATCCAAAACCTTGTAATATTCGACCGACCGGCCGGCCAGTCAACATAATCAAAGTGAGACTTTGGTTACTAGAAAACGATTCTCCAAAGGTGACCAAACAAAAGAAGTCACAATCAAACAGCTTGTACTATTGAAGTACCAAACAAAAAGAATACAGGGAGATTTACAGGGCATTTTTGATGGATACTCCGAAATCGAATCATCAAAGAAGAAGGAGTTCTTCTCCTTTCTTGATGTCTCAAACACTATGGTCATCAACTGAAAAAACATGCAGATCAGGATTGACCAGATCAAATGATGAAAAAGGGGTAAATGTGAAAGTTGTACTGCGTTGCAGGTATGAACCAGTTAAAATTTTCCATTGCTAATTCTACGCGTTCATACGATAACTATGCCTTAATTTCAAGCAGCTTGGGAATCCTCATTGTCCATGTTGATCCATATAAGTGTATTGGCAATAAGGTCACATGTTTGGAGTTCTACATGTTAATATTTGTTTTACTTGAGTCGAGGGTCTATCAGAACAGTTTTTCTACCTTCACATGGTAGGGGTAAGGCTATTATACACCACCCACCCCAAACCCCACTTGTGGGATTCCAGTGGGTTTATTGTTGTTATGTTCTAATATTAAAGATAATGTAGTTTAGTTTAGGTCTGAGTAATCAAGAAACCTACCTCTTCTCTTTTTACCAAACTAATTTCACGATCATTTGTAACTGAGAGGTTAGAAGTATTTAACACTAAAAGCAAGACGTGTAGGCAGATCGACTCATCAATTTACCATTGAGACTTACAAGCTAGTGACATACTTGTCTTTCAGGCCTCCAAATGAGGATGAAATGCAGGTGAAAGGCCCTTTGGTGATCTCATGCGACGAGCTGAAACAAGAAGTCACTGCAACTTTGAACACAACTACTAAGCAAATAAACAAAACCTTTCTATTTGACAAGGTTATCTTCTTATAATGTCAATAAGTTTAATCTATTCTATATCTTTTTTTCATAATTACGAAAATTTTGTGAAGTAACGTTGATTTGAACCCCTTTGATGCCACAATATTTGTTAGGTTTGTGGTCCATCATCTCAGCAAAAGGACTTTTATGATCAGTCTGTGTCTCCTCTTGTTAATGAGGCTCTTGAGGGATATACTTGTACTATTTTTGCTTATGGACAAACTGGAACAGGAAAAACTTACACAATGGAAGGGGAAGCAATTAAAGAGAAGGTTCTCTCTGATTCTTTCTTCATTTCTCCCCCCTCAAATGTAACCATCATTTTGACAGAGGCGGGAAAATCTTAGTAGCTCAGTTGGTTAGCTACCTGATCTTTCACCTTGTTGGTGAGAGTTCGATTCCCCACCTAGTAATCCCTCCCCATTTCCCCTTCCCCTCCCTAAAAGATTGATAGAGGCGGATCTAGGATTTGAAGTTTATGGGTTTCGAACTTGAAGCTCATTTGAGTTACTAAGTTTGTTATTAAATATTTATACATATTTAATGAAGTTCCCTAATACAAAAGCTATTAGGTTCGTCAAAACCCTTAACTTATATTGTAGCTCCGCCCCTGATTTTGTTGGCTTTTATCATTTTTTATATCCTATTTCAATGTTGATGCTTGTAGAATGGGGAGTTTCACAAGAATGCTGGAGTAATACCTAGAGCAGTCCAAGAGATTTTTGACATTTTGGAGTCTCAAAAGGCTGAGTACACTATGAAAGTTGCATATATAGAGATTTATAACGAGGAGATAACAGATCTTCTTTCCCTGGACGAGGAATCAAAACCGATAGATGAGAAGCAGAGAAAGCCATTAGCTCTTATGGAGGATGGAAAAGGCGCAGTTTTCATTAGAGGTTTAGAAGAGGTGACAGTATCAACTGCAGATGAAATATACAAAATTTTGGAGAAAGGGTCTGCGAATAAGCATACAGCTGAAACGCTTCTTAATAAACAAAGCAATAGGTCTCATTCGATATTTTCCATCACCTTACATGTTAAGGAATGTACTCATGAGGGACTAGAACTGATTAAGTGTGGAAAACTGAATCTTGTTGACCTAGCTGGATCCGAGAACATTTTACGTTCTGGTGCAAAAGAGGTACACTAATGGAACTTCTCAGAATAATCGAAACTAGTTATTATACCATTTCACAAACGAGTTTAACTTGCATAAAATGCACTATCACGTCACTTTAAAGATAATTGCAGGTGGCTCATAATAAGTGGAACTACTTACCTGGAAAATAATGCTGACTACCTGCTATAACACGTTAAATTACACTGACAGTATAAAGATTCTTTACATCGTCAATGTATATAAGTTAAATCGTTCAGTTTATTATAGTGAAATTTGAGGTTCGTAAGCACATTTACTTCTCTAAAATACAGGGAAGAGCAAGAGAGGCAGGGGAGATAAATAAGAGCTTGCTTACCTTGGGCAGGGTCATCAATGCTTTGGTTGATCACTCTGGACATGTTCCATACAGGTATAGAACTTATTCAGTCATTATATATACATTGCAACAGATGTTATAATACAGAAGCAACCATTGTAAAATAAGTCTCGGGATATCAGGGATAGCAAGTTGACAAGGTTTCTGAGGGATTCGTTAGGAGGAAAAACAAAGACATGCATAATTGCCACAGTTTCACCGTCCATCCAGTGCTTGGAAGAGACTCTCAGTACTCTCGAATATGCTAATCGTGCCAAGCAAATTAAAAACAGGCCAGAGGTAGTCAATTTTATTCTTTGGAGACTTGTTATGATTTTAGATGACCATATATTTCATTCTCAAGTCTATTTCCAGGTTAACCAGAAGCTGACAAAATCTGCCCTAATCAAAGATTTGTATGTGGAGATGGACTGCCTAAAGCAAGGTTAAAATGAGATTTGTAGTTTGACAATTTATTAATTTATGTGGTATTATAACAGTAGGCATTGAAGGAATACGGTTTGTCTCCGTGTGGCCTATAGGTCAGGCGTTTGAGCCGTGGAAATCAACCACTGATGCTTGCATCAGGGTAGGATGCCTACATCACACCCCTTAGGGTGTTGCCCGTCCCCGAACCTTGTGTGAATGCAGGATGCTTCATGCACTTTATAACAGTAGGCATTCTTCTTTGCTCTGCAGAATTACATGCAATGAGGGAGAAGAATGGAATCTACATACCACAAGATCGTTACCTGAGAGAAGAAGCAGCTCATAAGGTGCTATTACCATCAATATATCTGGAAAGCTACTCTTGATCTGTAAAATAGTAACAAACTTTATAACTCGAATGCTTCTTCTTTTTTCCCTTTTTTAGGCGATAGTTGGGAAACTGAAGTTCACGGAACTTGATTTAGAGTCCAAAAACAAGGTAAGTATCACCTGGTCTATCATGTAGGCAGCTTATGCAAGTCCTAATTTATTCCAAGATGATTGAGAAGGTACACATTCTGAGCAGAAACTGATAGAGCTTCAGGATCTTTATGATAATCAGCGACAACTGACAGCAGATTCAACCAAACAACTTGAGAGAACTCAGGTAGAATGTTACTTGAACAAGTTACTATCTGTGTCTCTTTTTTACCATGATAGCAAGAACCTACAAGATAAGTAAACTTTCCAGTCTCTATTTTATGGCAGAGAGAACTAAAGAAAGCTGAACAAGCTTTCAATGATCTAGAAGCTCAAAACAGGCGAGCAAAAGAAATGATTCAAGAGAAGGATTCTCTAGTATCCGATGTCATTAAATCTGGTAAGAAGTGTGTCCCAAACATGTAATTGAAATACAAAGATGATCCAAACCTTTCCTGAATCCTACACCATGTAGGAATAAATATGTATCCATTAACGGCTCATTGGAAAGAAGTTTATTCTTGAAATTATTGAAATCTGCATTGTTTACCTTTGGTTATTCAGAAAAGGAAATGACTGATAAAGCACTTGAGCTTCGAGATGAAGTAGAGAATGCAGAATCAGAGATATCCAGCTTGTTCGCCAAAATTGGTCCGCACTACTATCTCTTCTGGTCTTTAGTCTTTATCTGGTTAAGATCAGTTTCTTCTTCTAACATATGTTTATTATAAAACAGAAAAAGGCAACAGTAGAGAGGAAAGAAACAGAATCCTTGTGCAAAGCTTCCGCAGCAAATTAACTCAGCAGCTTGAAATTTTAAAGAGAAAAACAGCAATTTCTGTAACCAAACAAGAGCAGCAATTGAATGTAATACTAGAAGATACGCAATCCTTCTTAGCTACTAAAAGAAGGGTACAGTGAAACTCTTTCGACATACGGTACTCTGATAATCTGTGACCTGAAAATGGAACTTATCTAATCTTGAATTTACGGACAGGCTACAGATGAATTGAAGGTTCAGCTCCAGAAGCTGAAAGACAAGTATAACTCCGATATCCAGAATTTAGCTGTTCCAGCCCAAGATCTTCATGAAAATTCTCAGTTAGCTTTTAGCAAAGTGAATTCAGAAATATCAAAGCATTCTTCTGCTTTTACGGATGTAAGCGTGGATACTTCTTTAAGTCGATGTTACTTTCTTTCCACCCTTTCATCACTCAATTTTGCCAGCATACTTGTACAGCTTGTTGGAAAGATTTCCGCAGATGTTAATGCTATACTCAACGGTCTGCAAGGTAATATTCGGGAACTTGAGGTGAAGATAAATGCTTTTGTGCGACAAGAACAACAGGTACATAAGCATGCTATAAATTTTCTTTCAGATACTCTTAGTTTTGTGCATCTAACTTTGTTTATTTTTCTCCATCATCAGTATCAAACAAGAAGATATCATGAAATTCAAATTACCTCTGAAGTTCTCCTCAACTTTTTCAAGACCTTGAATACATATATTTCAAAATTGAGACTAATGGATGAAAAATCACAAACAATTAATAATCAGCAACTCTGCACCCTTGAAGAAAAGTTTGAGGTATTTATTTCTGGACTCTCCTTAGAAATGAAGATCTCGATCTTGATCTCTTTTCACCCTTTTGAGTTACTTCTATAGGAGCTGGCTGCAAGTGAAGAACGTCAACTTATAGAAAAAGTTGCAGAGCTTATATTAGCTTCCAGTACTAAGAAGAAAAGGCTGGTATGTGCTTCTTCATTGCAACTTGTACATACCAATATCATAGCCTTTTCATGGATTTTCTTATTCTTAAAAGCATGGAGTTACTGCAGGACTATCTCTTTCAGGGAGAAAATTATCAAATACTTTCATTTTTTTCATTCTTTAGGTTCAAACAGCAGTCAATGACCTTAGAGAGTGCTCTAATATCAAAACCAGAAATCTAAATGCTGAGTTTTCAGACATACAAGGTTGTGCTAATTCTGCCTATGAAGAGTGGACAAACTACATTGAAAGCACGGAATCCCACCATATCGAGGATTCAACTAGATTGGAATTTTGGAAGAGTAGCCTAGCAGGAAACATCGATTGCTGGTTGAGTTGGTTTCCGATGATATAAAATCTATAAATATTGCACTGTGTTTTGTATTGTATACCTTTAATCAAGCAATTATAGTTTTCATCTTAAATTTCAGTTTGACAAAATCAGAGGGGATCGAAGATGGATGGAGAAATGCCCAAGAATCCCTTCATTCCCAAGAAACAAGAACCATCAACTCAATCGATTGCATTGTTAAGTGAGTTATCATTTCAGATGAATCAACTACCATCTGAGAACTTCTCTTACATTTTTACCTCGATATGTTCAGGAGTGCTATGGAATCAAATGGAAAGATCGGCACTCAGTTTTCCTCCACAGTGACTTCCATACTAGAAGAAACAGCTATTTCCAAGAGGAATCTTCTTTTTGTTATGGAAAGTATGTTGCCTGGATACATAGTGTTTCTTCCTCTGATGTTGCAAGTGAACAAGCTCGGGATTTATTGCCACAGACTAATAGAGTTAAAGTTGCTGTAGGTTTGCTGAAACTTGATCATGATGAATGTGAGAAGATCTGTTCATCTATTCAACCTTGCGTTGAGGATATGAAACAGATGAAAGACAGACATTCATCCGAAGTATCAGAGATAGCGGAAAATGCAGGAAAAGTATTGACAGATGAGTATAAGGTAAAAGCTCATAAAACTATGCAACTATAAATAAGATCTTCGAATTAGAACTAAAAAGTATAATACTCAAATTTGCACAATATTATTACAATCTGCATTTTAGGATGGTTTAAATTTTCTCTCTTCATCATTCAGAAACAGACTTTCACTTTAGAAAATCTAACGCCAACTCTTTCTCCTGTATAGCAAGAATACCACGTCAATGGAAATTATCACGTATGAAATTTCCATGAGATACCTGAATAGGACAATATTTCATTTTCAAGTTCTTGACTCGATTGTAGCAGGGTGATAAGTTTATTTTCTTTGCCTTTTTTATTATAAATTAGAATTCTCCGCCAGAAGAAAAAGTACCAATTACTTGTCATCTGTTAAGAACTCTTGGTTTTCTTGATCTTATTCTTTTACCACTCTTCACAAGCTACCTTCAACTAAGACCTTTTTCAGCTTCCTATGGAATTTTACAGCCATTTGAATGGGATACTAAAATGCATTCTTCTTTTTCCTCAATAACTAGGTTGATGAACCGTCAAGCTCAACTCTGAGGAGGAAAAGAGTTAACGTGCCAAGTAGGGAATCTATTGAAAATCTCAGAACTCCTTTTCTCGAAGAGTCACTCAAGTCATTTCAAGGCAATGGAATAGCAAACCGAGCTAGCAGAAATGTAAATGCAACCAAAGGTGGATGAGGATATTCAATTGGATTCCAGATGTTCATATTTCGAAGTAGGATAACTGATTTAGAGATTGATCAGTCGAGGTTTATATCTGTTACTGGTAACCGGATGTAGCGCTTTAGTAAAAGAACTAAGGCATGTCATCATGTGAATTGGAGCCTCAGAAAATAAAATCAATGTTTCTTTACATCTAAGTGTTCTAGTCATATTAAAATATGTATATTAGAAACAGCAGACTCATATGTACAACAAAATACAATATGTTAGTATTCAGTGCATTATACTTGAAATTTCCACTTTGATATAGGATAAACAAGGGTCTTGAAATTTAGAACTGATGCGTGAATCTTTAATAGCATTCCTACATAGGTTTCTGAACCATTACACTACAAAACAAATAATATAATGGGCAAAAACTCACAAAAGCATAGTGATGACTGATGCAAAGGCGTAAACCCATATAGCCACCTTAGATCGGTTCAGTCCAAGACCTATGTTGCAATCTCCTCAGAACACTTTAAGCAACTCCTTCTAACATAGCTGGCTTCCATTTATGCCTTCTAGTTGCAATGCAGCGCTCAAATTTAAGAGTTCGCTTATTATTAGCCCTCTGACTACTCGTTACGGACAATATAGTGTCATACTGGAAATCTGTTTTCCTTGTCGATGACCATTAAGATAGGCCCAAAGACCTATTTCTGAAATCCTATGCAGTAATCACTTCTTAGCGCATATGGTCCAAAGCTTCACTTACAGTTTAGTGAACTTCACTAGTAATGAGGCGGTCATTTGGGCTTCAGAATATGGTTACCACCCGGGGCTGCATACGAGAAAGCCCTATCAGGCATCAAGTAGACCTGCTTTCTGAAATACAAGCTTTACTTCCTCACTTCAAGGGAGCTAATGGTTCAGAGAGATACAACTGGTGATTCTTTTAATCTGCCGCTTTAGTTGGTTACACTGCATCAATTCCATAAGTGGTATAAGAAGCTACAAGTTTTATGGAAGTGTCTCGTGGCCTTTCATTAAGCCAGTAAAGCAAAGAATAAACAAATCACATGAGTTTTGCATGAAGGCTGCCTCAGGCAGTGCTTCTTCCTCCACAAGGTGACCATTTACTGAGGAAGGAGTTGCCTACCCATTACTAGATTTTGCTGTGCCTTTCACTCAGTGCAAGACCCTTCTCCGTGCTATTCTTGATGAGAACACTCTCAGAACTCTACTTACCATATCCTGAAGTGGATCCTCTCAAGAATACTGAAGTCTCGAGGACTTGATCTCACACGCAGTGAACTTTCAGACGCTGTAATAATACTTCTCAATCACCAGGCTAGCTTTCTTCAGGCGTGCAATCAGTGCAATTTGAACATAAAAAAGATGTATCACTGAAAAGTGATACTGGGAGTAACAAGAGTGGACTGCAGTTTCTAGTGTGTCTACACATCAAAACAGTAAATAGCTTCCTCATTCACTCCTTAAAAGCAGTAGAGCCATCCTGAAATTTGAGTTCCAAAATTTGATTGCATTTCTAACTTTTTCCCTGATGCTATCTTCATATCTCTCTCTATTTGGCAGCAATCTTCAGTTAATCGGCAATCTGAAATTTGAAATACATCTTTATATGAAACAACAACTTGTTCTTTGGAAAACAGCAAACTGCTTTGACCATTTGTACAAGAATATCTGCTGCTTCAGTGTCTCTCTAGTCAAGCATGTCTCTGGATAGCTATTGGGCAAATTTTTGTTTCATGACCTCCTAATATCTAGAAAACCAACTCAAACATCTGCACAAGCAAAATGTGGTTCTGTAAAGGTGCAAGTCCACAATGTGGAATAATGGAATTGCAAGAAGCGTATATCCAATACTCATCTTGTCCAAATGTTTTACCCCTAAAACTTAAATCTGAAGGGGCAAATAATCATCATCCAGCATCTGCAGCCATAGTTCATCTAGCATGGAATATATTCTGTCCCTTTCTGCATGCATACAGTCCTCAGCCAAGAAGACATGGATCCGGTCCTTGACTTCAATCCAGCTTTGACCTGGAACTTTTTTGACACCTTTTTGTCTCATCTGACCCCTAAGTGATGCAACATCCTTCCAACTGCCCGTAGAAGCAAAAATGTTACAGAGTAACACATGTGCAGCAGAATTGGACGGATCAATCTCCAAAATTTTCTCTGCGGCTCGTTTGCCAACATCAAGATTGTTACGCGTCTTACAAGCAGCTAACAAAGTTTTCCACACCACAATATCAGGATCCATTTCCATTTGATTGATAAAAGCTTCTGCTTCCTCTATGCAGCCAGCTCGGGCAAGCATGTCAACTACACAGCAACAATGCTCTCTAGTTGGTACAATACCAAACTCCGTTTCCATGGCTCTGAACAACTGCCACCCTTCTTTTACTCGTCCAACATGACTACAAGCAGTCAAAACCCCGACAAAGGTAACTTGGTTTGGCTTGACAGCTAAATATCTCATCATTTGGAAGAGGTTTAGAGTTTCTTCTCCGTATCCAAACTGAGCATACCCCACTATTAAACTACTCCATGAAACCGCATCAGGGTTCTTCATACTATCAAAGAGCTTCTTAGCGCTTGTCATATGTCCACATTTCACATACATGTCAATTAAAGCATTCATGACATAAATATCTTCACTTAGCCCATTTTTCATGGCATAGCAACAAACCTGGCTTCCGATTTCCAAAGAGGCTACTTTTCCAGAAGCCCCAAGCATATTAACTAATGTAATATGATCAGGCTTATTAGAAGAAAGAAGCATCATTTTAAATAATGAGAAGACCTCTCCAGAATCTCTCTGTTGTAGAAAAGCTGTAAGAATGGCATTCCATGAGACTAAATCTGCTTTATTTTTTATCTCATTGAAAATTTTATGTGCATCCAGGAGATCTGAACAGTTGGCATACATTGAAAGTAATGTATTAGAGATGGAAATCTCTAAATCAAAGCCACTCTTAATAACATAGCAGTGCACTTGCTTTCCTAGGAAGAGAGCACATGGACTTACAAAGGCACAAAGTAAAGAACGAACTGTGACATCATCTGGGGTCAACCTCAAAGCTCTCATCTGAGAAAAGAGAGATACAGATTCATCACGGTCACCTCCGTATGCAAACCCCGCAATCAGAGCATTCCAGGATGCAAGATCAGGATTTCCTATCTGGTAGAATGCAGTTCTTGCAGAATACAACCATCCACATCTGGCATACATGTCAGTAACAGCGCAACCAGCAAAAGCATCAAAACTAAGCCCAAATTTTATACTTAGACCATGTACTTGTCTTCCATATTCTGCTTGTCCAAGACTTCTACAGACATTAAAAATGCTTCCAAAAACGAATTCATTCAGTTTGTAAATCCCCTGACTAAGCATCTCCCTGAAGCAGGACAGAGCTTCTGATTCATAACCAAGCTGTGCAAATCCAGCAATCATTGAGCTCCACGAAATCAAATCCTTTGATTTAATATGGGAGAACACTGTCAATGCCTCATCAATTTGATTAAACTTCGTATACATCGCAATCAGTGCATTCTGAGCAATAAGGTGGGAACCATGTTCCGATTTAATGACATGGCCATGCAATTGCTTCCCTAACTCTACCTTTTTCATATTTGAGCATGTTTTGATTACGCTTCCATATGTGAACTGGTCAGGTATAAGACCAAACTGTCTCATTTGAAAGTAAAGATTTAATGCTTCATTCTCCTGACCATTTTGTGAGTACCCAGCAATTATCGAAGTCCAAGAAACCAAATTTCGTTCAAGCATTTCATCAAACACCTTACGAGCCTCCTTTAATGACCCACACTTCCCATACATATTCAACAAATGATTTTGAAAAATCATGTCTGGTTGATAATTTGATGCTAAAATATGACTATGAACTCTTCTTGCATACTGCAGGGATCTAAGAGATGAGCACGCAGATACTAGCTGAGCATACGTGCTTGGATACAAATTATAAGTTGTGTTCCTTTCTAACAACTCAAATGACTCTAAAGCTTGTTTAAATAACTTTTGCTTACACAACAAGATTATATGATCATTACTAGACTGTTCATTCCTGAAACAAGACTGTATCCTATGATTGACATAGCTCCGGATTGATCCTAACCTTTTTATCATTGTGAAAGAATTCCCACAAACAATCAATCAATCATTCAACTACGCATCACTCCCAAACTAGTCGGAATCATCTATATCCATTCCTCTTTACTCGGATCTTCATCCCAAAATTTTTCATTTCTGCAATAGCAAATACATTATGAAATATATGAACCACACAAGACAATTTGCATGTTTTAAAGTGAATAGCAATTCGAACAAATGTAAACAGAAAGTCTGCTTAAAATTTGTAAATCTCACGCAATGTGTAACAATTTCTGAACTCATATGTGACTCTTGAGAATATACGAATTCAGCTCAATTCATAGTTCGTATTTTTACTAAAATGGCTGTGACCAGGAACTGATATAAACTTTACGAGCATGGAATCTGGAGAGAGAGAAACGAAATAACTTACAATGAGATGTCGCCGGCGAACCAGATACGGCTACTCCGGCATCGTTTGAAATTGGCGGGCCAAACTGTCTCTAGGTCCCAATGGGTTATGAGGCATTTGGGCTGGTGATTTGAATTTAAATAACTGGCCCATTGTATATGAGCCCACTTCTTTGTCCTCTATCAACGCAAAATTTATGACGATCCAATATAATTTGTGGTCAATCGGACATGATAATTATGTTGAATATAACGTACAATATATATATATATATATATATATATATATGTTTCATTAATTTACATAGCTTTATGAGTAAGGATAGCAACGAGGCAAAATTAAAAATAAGAAGGAATTTTGACACGATATATCTTGTTTTGCGTCAAGATGGAGGTTATGGGGAATATGAAGTCTAACCAATCATTATTAGGACATATAAGGCGAAAACAATTATTTTAGTAGTCATGACTAGTTTTACAATTGAAAATATTATAAAAACAATACATTAAAAAAGGAGAAATTGTCATTCGGGATGGCTCAGTTGGTTTGGAAAGTGGTTATCCACACGGATGACCCCGGATCGATCCCCTCTCAATGTCTTCTGAGTCGAGCCTGTCGCATAGGGTTGCCTAGTGTGGTTTACATCCCCTGTGTGGTTTGCAGGCTATTACACAATGGAGGGTTTACCCAGTGCGCACAAAGTGCTCACTTGAAGGGCAGAGGTTGTAGTGGCTGCAGGTTATCCTAGGGTTCCAAAAAAAAAAAAAAAAAAAAAGATAGGCTACACATGTTATTATATGGTCAACATCCAGGAAATGAGAAGTGTTATCAATTATACTCTATAACAGCTTCCGCATTCTACTTTACAACTCTATATTTGTGATCCCCTTAACCTCGCCATTATCAATTACTCTCGATGTCAGGAGTTTCAACACCATTGACAATGTTAAAACAAAGATCCAAGACAAAGAAGGAATTCCCCAGTATCAACAAATATTATTATTTGCTGGAAAACAATTTAAAGATGATCGTACACTTGCTGATTACAATGTTTAAAAGCAGTCCACCCTTCATTTCGTCTTGAGTCTTTGTGGAGGTTATACGGGAGATGAAATTTATCCTATCATTGTTAGGACATATAAGGGGGGTGGTTTACCTTAGAAGGCGAGACTAGCTTTACAATTGAAAATGTGATAAAAAAAAACGGTCTAAGAAAAAGGAGATTATAAAGTAGACTACATATGCTTATTAGATGGTCACTATCTAAAATATGAGAAGAGTCTTTTTTATTTTAATATTCGAAAGAATTGGACACTCCATCTTATACGACAATAAAAAGGTAAATTATAGATCCTTGTTAGGAAGCTGATTGAGATATCTATTTGTTTTAGAGAATTCTCAAACTATTGATAATGTAACGCAAAGATTAAGAATAAATATATTTTTGTATACGCTCCTCTATCGCTTGGCCTTAGTCTCATTCATCAAAAAATAAATGTTCAAAAAATTTGAGTGTTTTAATGTTAATGTTTAATCTTGTCCAAAGCTTGCTTTGGCTAAAATAGATTGAATCAGAGCTAAAGAATGAATGATAACTCAATTTGTCCAATTTAACTCAATTATTATATCCTTTTGGTGATATTAATATATTTCTTTATGAAATATCCATAAGCAAAGTCTTCCTAAATATTTCATATCATAAAATTTAATAACATGTATAGCTACAAATTAAAAATAGCTAATTAAGTATATTGTCTATCTATGCATATCACATATTCATGCAAATATTTCATCACATTCTTTTTAATCTTTCCAAAAGAACGTCACAATTTTATTTTTAAAAATAATTTAATTTTAAAATTTTTATTTCACTTCAACGACATGATTTTATAATTATTTAATAATGTTATAATATATTTAAGACTAATTTTTATTTTAAAAAAATCTCAAATTTCATGTCTTGTTAAATATATTAACATAAAATGATATAGAAAAAAGTAACATTTCAGATCGAAGGAGTAAAAAATAAATGAAACCTAAAAAAAAAAATAAGCACCACACAATACAAAAGGAAATTAAAAAGGATGTAGGAACTACATTGATTGAATTCAAACATCAAATTCATTAAAAAAAAACACCTTAAAAATAACATCAAGTCACCCAAAAATTCAAATTTAGGATCCCCAGTATCTAACAAGTTTTTTTTGACATGAAATGGGTATATTCATATATCTCTGACTCATATTTACAAGATGATAAAGTATGAGAAAAGCTATACCAATAATTAGTTCGCATCGGAATAGACGTATTGGTTCACGTAAGAGTGCACGTAGAATGCCAAAAAGAGTTATTCATGTTCAAGCAAATTTTAGTAATATCATTGTCACTTTTATAAATGTACGAGGTTGAACTTTCATTATAAAAGAATCAAATTATCAAAGATTAAAGGTTTGGAATAACTGTGGATTAGTTTTTTCTTAAGATGAGTTATGTCCAAAGTTAATTAATTTAATATACTCTCAATATCAATTACTTATTTTTCAAAGCATTTTTTTGTAATATAAATATTAATATTAATTATTATGTATGAAGAAACGTGCAAAAACATAAAAAAAAATGAAATAAAAGAATATAATTGAGCAAACGTGATTAGAGTTTCAAAGCTCCACTCTCCCTCTTCCTTTACTTTACTCATTCCATTTAGGGTTTTTATACTAGTAGTTCAATAAAATGCTTTTATTACTAAAATAAACTATAATATAATGATGGGTCCCACCTCCCACACTTTGAGATTTGAAATACAAAACGAGTTATAGCCGTTATACAAAGCTCCATTGGCGTAAAAATAGGGGATTCATCAGTTGAGAAATCAAATTTGTTGTCGAGATAAGCAAGAAATTCGAGGTGAGTATTGAGATAAATTATTGAGATTCAAGGGATTCGAGTCAAAAAATTATTGAAATCAATTTTTTAGTTGATCACAGTAATGTTAGTTTTAACTGGTTTAATAGGTTTCCGTTGGAGGCAGCAGTATCGGCGGCAAGAGTATCCAGAAAGTTTTCTGAAGAAGTCGGATATCAGGTACGTTTCTGTTGCATTGCTTGAATTACACCTCGCCATTTAATACCTTTTCTTGTGAACTATATGAACTGATGAATGGTATCAAAAGTGTGCAAGTTTAAACATAATAATAGACTAGTGAAATTGTTGTGACAATTACAAAGAAATGAACTGTAAGTTCAAAATTTGGATGGGTGATAAATTTTGCAAGAAAAATATTAGTGTTGCTTTTGTTTTCTGTAGACTGTTTAAGTTCTGGAATCGAGCACTAGAGCTCTGTATTTTGCTAGTTTTTACAACTCCTGAATTTGAAAATCTGGGAAAATATTCTTTCTAGGTCAGGTTCTCTTTTTTAACTACAATTAACTGTTAAAAGGAAGGATTTGTACTCACAAGTCACAACTGAATAAAGAAGTGGGTAAAACAGTTGAGGAAAAAGAGAGCGAACCTGTCAAAATTCACATTCATTATGGCTCACAAAAACTAATGGCACAATTGGCCATAGAGAGATTTCAAGGTTTTCCTTATTTTACCAATATTTTACTCTTTCTGAAGTCTAATTTTACTGCAGAAACTAATCTTCTCAGTTTCTGATTCATCTTGCACAATCATGCCTTTCTTCCAGTTTGGACTTCTCCGCCGTTAATCCATAAAACTGTTGTCAAGCATTCTAAACCTATCAGCCCCATAGATTGTAGAATATAATTCACTGCAGGAAGACATGAATAATTGTCACTTCCACTACTGACAAAAGTTAAAAATAGATTGTTGGCGTTTTAGCCTTTTTACTGTTTTCTTGTTTGAAAACTTTTGGGAATTCCTTTGTGCAACAACTCTATGATTAAACTTTAAAAAAAAATATGCATTTTTTTACAAATGCGTTAAGCTCTTGTTGACTCCAGAAAAAGAATAAATGACATAGTGTACTCCAAGGTGCGGTTGTGGTCCTCTCTTCCTTCAAATTTGTGATGATTATTTTCATGGAAAACGTAGCACATCAAAACATGAGAAGCTAGGGAACATAATAAAGATGGCTATACCTATAATTATTTTCTTGTTCACCCCTCCTAAACATATGCATGAATCTCATTAATCTACTATTATACCCCATCCGGTTCACTTAAAAAAATTCCCTTTGTAGACAATCATTTATTGGAAAAAATTGATAAGCTTAACACAAAAGCAGAAAAAGAAATAATAGTAACTTGGTCCCATGTGAAATTGAGCAGTTTCTGTAACTTGGAGAATACCCTTTAGTACTGAGCAATGAGCATTACTATCTTGGCGCTGGCCATTTACAATTTAAAAACTGTACTTTCTTTTCAGAAAAAGTACATGGTGGTAAAAATGGCCTAATTTCATTTGTATCTATATAGATCGCGCTTTAAGAAATTGAGATCTTTTCATGCAACAGTACACGTGTTGGAGAGTAAACTCTGCCCCCTCTTTTAGCAGTATGACCCAACTGATTTTTACTCCTTGGCTTGTGTAGTATTATTGCCTTTTTTTTCATGCATTCTTCCTTATTAGCCATTAATTATGTATGTGGTTCTTATTGAACATGCTATCACATACTGTTATGTCTAGTGTCAAATGCAACATGGTCAACTGACACGGTTACATCTATATTTTACATGAAGGGGAAAAGGTGATTATCAAATTGATTATAAACCAGCTCCTCGAATCTCAGAAGCAGATAAGAGTAATGATCAATACTAATTGAGAACATAATTTATCTCAATACTAATTCATTCTAAAGCTACTATTGGAGTTGGATTTCAGACCCAACTTCTTGACATTAATGGGAAAGCTCATATTTGGGACACTGCTGGCCAAGAAAGGTTTAGATATAAGTTGGAGGAGTACTTTTGGAAGTGTTACTAGGTGGCTTGATCAGCTCAATAGCCGTTATAGAAAAATGTAATTCTCGAAAAACAGATGAAATCAAAGGTGTTTTTTTTTCTTTTTCTTGATTTCGTGTTTATGATTTCTTTGTGATTCTTGCATATTAGTTGATATATTGTTTAATTTCCCCTTCTCCAAATGCATATGCATGATACTTGAGAACATGATTTTTTTTCTAGTGAAAAATTTCTCCACTTTCTTGCCTTGTTGAATTTGATAATAACTGAATCAGGGCATATTGCTCTCTTTTCTTCTTTGGGGGTCTCGCGTGTCAGTTATGTGACTTAATGTCTCTTTCTCCAAGTAGATATACATTTGTATACGGAGAGTGCTATTTATTCCTTGTTATTTGACTTGTAATTAGTATTGAGATAAATTATTGAATTTGCCAATTTTCATCAATTTTTTCTTCTTGAATGGGGCAGCAGCAATCCAAAGGTGAGTTTCTGTATCAGCAAGTTAATTACGGAAATGTTGAAGGCATCAAATCTCTCTGCAGTAAATTAACTCAGCAGCTTGAAATTTTAAAGAGAAAAACAGCAAGTTCTGTAAGCAAACAAGAGCAGCAATTGAATGTAATATTAGAAGATATGCAATCCTTCTTAGCTACTAAAAGAAGGGTACAGTGAATTTTTTTTGACATGCAGTACTTTAATAATCTGGGACCTGAAAATGGAACTTATCTAATCTTGTATTTACGGACAGGCTACAGATGACTTGAAGGTTCAGCTCCAGAAGCTGAAAGACAAGTATAACTCCGATATCCAGAATTTGGCTGTACCAGCCCAAGATCTTCATGAAAATTCTCAGTTAGCTTTTAGCAAAGTGAATTCAGAAATATCAAAGCATTCTTCTGCTTTTACGGATGTAAGCGTGGATACTTCTTTAAGTCGATGTTACTTTCTTTCCACCCTTTCATCACTCAATTTTGCCAGCATACTTGTACAGCTTGTTGGAAAGATTTCCGCAGATGTTAATGCTATACTCAACGGTCTGCAAGGTAATATTCGGGAGCTTGAGGTGAAGATAAATGCTTTTGTGCGACAAGAACAACAGGTACATAAGCATGCTATAAATTTTCTTTCAGATACTCTTAGTTTTGTGCATCTAACTTTGTTTATTTTTCTCCATCATCAGTATCAAACAAGAAGATATCATGAAATTCAAATTACCTCTGAAGTTCTCCTCAACTTTTTCAAGACCAATACATATATTTCAAAATTGAGACGAATGGATGAAAAATCACAAACAATTAATAATCAGCAACTCTGCACCCTTGAAGAAAAGTTTGAGGTATTTATTTCTGGACTCTCCTTAGAAATGAAGATCTCGATCTTGATCTCTTTTCACCCTTTTGAGTTACTTCTATAGGAGCTGGCTGCAAGTGAAGAACGTCAACTTATAGAAAAAGTTGCAGAGCTTATATTAGCTTCCAGTACTAAGAAGAAAAGGCTGGTATGTGCTTCTTCATTGCAACTTGTACATACCTTTTATGGTATTAGAGGTAGCCTTACCCCGTATTTCTGCAAGAGGTTGTTTCCACAACTCAAACTCGTGACCTCCAGGTCACATGGCAGCAACTTTACCAGTTACGCCAAGGTTTGCCTTCAACTAAATAATTAGAATTTACTCTAAAGAATCACAGCTGAGAATGCTTTTCCATGAAGGTTTATATTGTGAATGGAATTCATACCAATATCATAGCCTTTTCATGGATTTTCTTATTCTTAAAAGCATGTAGTTACTGCAGGACTATCTCTTTCAGGGAGAAAATTATCAAATACTTTCATTTTTTTTGTTCTTTAGGTTCAAACAGCAGTCAATGACCTTAGAGAGTGCTCTAATATCAAAACCAGAAATCTAAATGCTGAGTTTTCAGACATACAAGGTTGTGCTAATTCTGCCTATGAAAAGTGGACAAACTACATTGAAAGCACAGATGCCCACCATATCGAGGATTCAACTAGATTGGAATTTTGGAAGAGTAGCCTAGCAGGAAACTTCGATTGCTGGTTGAGTTGGTTTCAGATGATATAAAATCTATAAATATTGCACTGTATTTTGTGTTGTATACCTTTTAATAAAGCTATAGTTCAGGAGTGCTATGGAATCAAATGGAAAGATAGGCACTCAGCTGCTTTCCTCCACAGTGACTTCCATACTAGAAGAAACAGCTATTTCCAAGAGGAATCTTCTTTTTGTTATGGAAAGTACCGATGAAGCTTCAACACCATCAAGCGCCACCACCAGTGAATAAGAAAACAAATAGGATCGTCCAACTCTTGAACTGTTATTTTCAAAATAATTAGAAGCACAACATAAGACAAGATGAATTGTGATCATTTCTTTTATCATCACATTAAGAAGTAATTGTTCCCCTCTTCGAAAAATGATTTTCACAGGATGAATTTATAAGCTACTCTGCGGCACCATGTTTGATTCCCATCTTCCTCTTTTCCCTTCAGGTGAAGCTGCTTTCATCCTGGAATGGAAAAATCTTGTTCACTGGTTGTGTAGACATGCCTTTGACTACAAAGGGTGTGGAAGAGGTCGTTAAAGCTGGGATACGAATTAGCAATATAACATATCGACATGATCTATACTTCTGCTTGGATTTGTGCTCAAAGCTTGCATGATAGCGCCGCCTCAAGAAGGTAATTTTGTGGTTAAAGCTTGTAACATTTGGGCGATCTCTGCTTCTTCTTAATTTTATTTTGTTATACGGATTAGTAGTTACTAGCTCAAGTGTTTTATATACATGGTCCAAAAAAGAAGGTTGTATCTGCATATAACGAATATGTTATTATTGTGTCATGGAATGGCTGTGACACAACAAATCACGGAAGATCTTGCATTAGAGGTTCACAGAGAAAGTAAGTCAATATTTTTGTTGGATCTCTCTTTTTATACATTATCACTATATATATAGATTTCAATGTTAGCATGAAAAATGTTCGCACCTCAAGGTGATTGATGTAGAGTCTAACTACTACATTCACGGCTCGAATCGATGACCTATAGCTTGAAAGATGAAAGTTTGGGGAATATGGCTGTCAACATATTGAATGTTTTCAACTCGTGAACAATGTTAACTTTGTTTGCAGACTAGCTTGTTCCTTTTACATAAAATGATCAGGACATGATTTTCAAGTAATTGTCATGCAAGTTTTTGTCTTAAAATGATACAAAATAAATTCTAATAAAAACTATGAACCATTAGTGCTTGAAAATTTCTCTGTGGTAAATTATGTTGTTTTCGAGTTGTTAAATAGGCATTCTCGGGTCAAGCATCCTCGGGGAGGCCTCCTCGAGTAGGGCGTTCTCGGATCAGGCATTCTTGGGTCAGACATCCTCGGGTCAGGCGTTCTCCGGTCAGGCGTTCTCGGGTCAGGCGTCATCGGGTCAGACGTTTTCGGGTCAGACGTTCTCGAGTCAGGCGTCCTTAGGTCAGGCATTCTCCGGTCAGGTGTCCTCCTGTCAGGCATTCTTAGGTCAAGCGTGATCGGGTCAGGCATCCTCGGGTCAAGCATCCACGGGTCAAGCATCCTCGGGTCAGGCATCCTCGGGTCAGGCGTTCTCGGGTCAGGCGTTCTCGGGTCAGGCATCCTCGGGTCAGGCGTTCTCGAGTCAAGCATCCTCAGGTTAGGCATCTTCGGGTCAGGCGTTCTCGGGTCAGGCATCCTCGGGTCAGGCGTTCTCGGGTCAGGCGTTCTCGGGTCAGGCATCCTCGGGTCAGGCGTTCTCGAGTCAAGCATCCTCAGGTTAGGCATCTTCGGGTCAGGCGTTCTCGGGTCAGGCATATTCTCCAATAAGACATCCTCGGGTCAGGCATCCTCGGGTCAGGCGTTCTGGGGTCAGGCATCCTCGGGTTAGGCATTCTTGGGTCAAGCTTCCTCGGGTCAGGCATTCTCGGGTCAAGCATCCTAGGGTCAGGAGTCATCGAGTCAGGCATTTTGGGTCAGGCATCCTTGGGTCAGGTATACTCGGGTCAAGCATCATCGGGTCAGGCGTCCTCAGGTTAGGCATTCTCGGGTAAGGCGTCCTCGGGTTAGGCAACCTCAGGTCAAGCATCCTCGAGTCAGGAATCCTTCGGTCAGGCATCCTCGGGTCAGGCATTCTCGGGTCAGGCATTCTCGGGTCAGGCATTCTCGGGTCAGGCATCCTCGGGTCAGGCATTCTCGGGTCAGGCTTCCTCTTTCCTCGGGTCAGGCATCCTCGGGTCAGGAGTCCTCGGGTCAGGCATTCTAAGGTCAGGCATTCTCGGGTCAGGCGTCCTCGGGTCAGGCTTCCTCTTTCCTCGGGTTAGGCGTCTTCGGGTCAGGCATTTTGGGTCAGGTATCCTCAGGTCAAGCATCATCGGGTCAAGCGTCCTCAGGTTAAGCATTCTTGGGTAAGGCGTCCTCGGGTCAGGCAACCTCAGGTCAGGTATCTTCGAGTCAGGCATCCTCAGGTCAGGCATTCTCGGGTCAAGCATTCTCGGGTCAAGCATCCCCGGGTTAGGTATCCTTGGGTCAGGCATCCTCAGGTCAGGCATCCTCGGGTTAGGCATCCTCGGGTCAGGTATCCTTGGGTCAGACGTTCCCGGTTCAAGAATCCTCGGATCAGGCATCCTCGGGTCAGGCATACTTGGGTCAGGCATCCTTGGGTCAGGCATCCTCGGGTCAGGCATTCTCGGGTTAGGCATTCTCGGGTCAGGCATTCTCGGGTCAGGCATCCTCTGGTCAGGCATTCTCGGGTCAGGCATTCTCGAGTCAGGCATTCTCGGGTCAGGCATTCTCGGGTCAGGCGTCCTCGGGTCAGGCTTCCTCTTTCCTCGGGTTAGGCGTCTTCGGGTCAGGCATTCTCGGGTCAGGCATTCTCGAGTCAGGCATTCTCGGGTCAGGCATTCTCGGGTTAAGCATTCTTGGGTAAGGCGTCCTCGGGTCAGGCAACCTCAGGTCAGGTATCTTCGAGTCAGGCATCCTCGGGTCAGGCATTTTCGGGTCAGACATCCTTGGGCAGGCATTCTCGGGTCACGTATCCTCAGGTCAGGCATCCTCGGGTTAGGAATCATCAGGTCAGGCATCCTCGGGTTAGGCATCATCGGGTCAGGCATCCTTGTGTCAAGTATCCTTGGGTCAGACGTTCTCGGGTCAGGCATCCTTAGGTCAGGTGTTCCGGGGTCAAGCATCATTCGGTTAGGCGTTTTGGGGTCAGGCATCCTCGGGTTAGGCATCCTTGAGTCAGGCATTCTCGGGTCAGGCATCCTCGGGTCAGGCATCCTCAAGTCAGGCATCCTCAGGTCAGGCATCCTCGGATCAAGTATCCTTTGGTCAAGAGTTCTCGGTTTAGGCATCCTCGAGTCAGGTGTTTCGGGGTCAAGCATCCTTGGGTCAGGTATCCTCGGGTCAGGCATTCTGGGGTCAAGAATCTTCGGGTTAGGTCGGGTCAGGCATCCTCGGGTCAGGTGTTCTGGGGTGAGGTATCATCGGGTAAGGCGAATATTTTGCAGTAAGACATTCTCGGGTCAGGCGTCCTTGGGTCAGGCATCATCGGGTCAGGCATTCTCGGGTCAGGCATCCTCGGGTCAGGCATCCTCAAGTCAGGCATCCTCAGGTCAGGCATCCTCGGATCAAGTATCATTTGGTCAAGAGTTCTCGGTTTAGGCATCCTCGAGTCAGGTGTTTCGGGGTCAAGCATCCTTGGGTCAGGTATCCTCGGGTCAGGCATTCTGGGGTCAAGAATCTTCGGGTTAGGTCGGGTCAGGCATCCTCGGGTCAGGTGTTCTGGGGTGAGGTATCATCGGGTAAGGCGAATATTTTACAGTAAGACATTCTCGGGTCAGGCGTCCTTGGGTCAGGCATCATCGGGTCAGGCATCCTCAGGTCAGGCGTTCTCGGGTCAGGCATCCATGGGTCAGGCGCCGTCAGGTCTGGCGTTCTCGGGTCAAGCATCCCCGGGTTAGGTATCCTTGGGTCAGGCATCCTCGGGTTAGGCATCCTCGGGTTAGGCATCCTCGGGTCAGGTATCCTTGGGTCAGACGTTCCCGGTTCAAGAATCCTCGGATCAGGCATCCTCGGGTCAGGCATACTTGGGTCAGGCATCCTTGGGTCAGGCATCCTCGGGTCAGGCATCATCGTGTCAGTCATCCTCTGGTCAAGCATCCTCGGGTCAGGCATCCTCGGGTCAGGTATCCTCGGATCAGGCATACTCGGGTCAGGCATCATCGTGTCAGTCATCCTCTGGTCAAGCATCCTCGGGTCAGGCATCCTCGGGTCAGGTATCCTCGGATCAGGCATACTCGGGTCAGGCATCATCAGGTCAAGCATCCCCGGGTCAGGTGTTTTGGGGTCAGGCGTTCTCGGGTCAGGCATCTTTCAGTAAGGCATCATCGGGTCAGGCGTTCTCGGGTGAGACATCCTCGGGTGAGGCATACTCGGGTCAGGCATCATCGAGTCAGGCATCCTCGGGTCAGGCATCTTCGTGTCAGGCATCCACGGGTCAGGCATCCTAGAGTCAGGCATCATCGGGTTAGGCATCCTTGGGTCAGGCATTCTTGGATGTATCATCGGGTAAGGCGTTCTCCGGGTCAGGCATCCTCGTGTCAGGTGTAACGGGGTCCGGCATCCTCGGGATAGGCATTCTCCAGTAAGACATCCTTGGATCTAAGCGTTCTCGGGTCAGGCCTCCTCGGGTCAGGCATTCTCGAGTTAGGCATCCTAGAGTCAGGCATACTCGGGTCAGGCATCCTCGGGTCAGGCATACTCGGGTCAGGCATCCTCAGGTCAGGCATACTTGGGTCAGGCATACTTGGGTCAGGCATCCTCGGGTCAGGCATCTTCGGGTTAGGCATCCTTGGGTCAGGCATCCTCAAGTCAGGCATTCTCCAGTAAGATATCATCGGGTCAGTCATCCTCTGGTCATGCATCTTCGGGTCTGGCATCATCGGGTCAGGCATACTCTGGTCAGGCATCCTCGGGTCAGTCATCCCCGGGTCAAGCGTTTTGGGGTTAGGCATCTTCCAGTAAGGCATCCTCGGGTCAGGCGTTCTCGGGTCAGGCGTCCTCGGGTTAGGCATCCTTGGCTTAGGCATCTTCGGGTCAAGCATTCTCAAGTCAGGTATCCTCAGGTCAAGCATCCTCGAGTCAGGCGTTTGGGTTAAACGTCTGGGATCAGACATCCAGGTTAGGCATCCTAGGGTCAGGCTTCTTCGGGTCAGGCATTCTCAGTTCATGCATTTTGGGGTTAGGCATCTTCGAGTGAGGCATTCTCTAGTCAGACATCCTCGGGTTAGGCATTCTCGAGTCAGACATCATCGGGTCAGGCGTTCTCAGAGAGAAGGTTACCTCGGGTCAGGCATTCTCAGGTCAGTCGTCCTCGAGTTAGGCATTCTTAGGTTAGGCGTCCTCGGTGAGACATCCTTGTTTCAGGCGTTCTTAGGTTAGGCATTCTTAGGTCAGGCGTCTTCATGTCAGGTATCATCAGGTCAGGCATCATCAGGTCAAGCGTTCTCGGGTCACGCATCCTCGAGTCAGACTTTTTCGGGTCAAGTATCCTCGGGTCAGGCATCCTCGAGTCAAGCTTCTCAGGTCAGGCGTCATCGGGTTACCATCCTCGGGTCAGGTGTTCCTCCAGTCAAACATCATCGGGTCAGGCATCCTTGGAGAAGGCCTTCGGGAGGGAGGGGATGGCTTGGGTGGTAAAGCCCTGTCGAGAGGGGGGCGGCCTTGGAGGGAAGGGGAGAGGGAGGGGATGCCTTGGGGGGTAGGGCCTTATCGGGAGATGGGTGGGCTTGGCGGGGGGGCTTGCCAGAAGGGAAAGAGGGGATGCCTTGCGGGGTAGGGCTTTAATGGGAGGTGGGCGGGCTTGGCGGGTGGACCTTGACGGGAGGGAGGGCGGCTTTGTGGGGAAGGGCCTTGCCCGGAAGAGGGGCGGCCTTGGGCGCAGGCCTAAAGGGAAAGGGAACTCGAAACATACTGCTTTAGATGGGAGGGGGGCCTCGAAACGGGCGACCTTGGAGCAGTACATTCAGTCCTACTATCTTTAGAGTTGGGCATTTAGGGGGCTTTACAAGAATTAGATGATTTTCTTAGTTTTTTATGTGTGAATGCCCATTAATATATATGTCTTCAAGGCGTATTTTTGGTGAAACCTTTACGGAACCCTCTGTAGGAAGTTGGGCATCTAGGGTCACTTTACATGAATTAGGCAATTTTATCAGTTTTTTCGTGAGTAACGCTCATGAATATTTTGGTAATTTAGCTTTCGGGCACAATTTGTTGTTGTTAACTACCTGAACATTAATCGGATCTTCGGACCAGTCACGAAAGTAATAAAAAAGTTTTAATAAGCGGAGATTTACGCATGTATTTTGACATATTATTAATGTATTTGACACATTATTAAGATACGATCATATGTATCTAGTTTTTATTAGTGTATCTGACTAAGTATATTGGAGATTTAATCTTACACAATTTGTTCTATCATGTATCTCAGTCTTGTCATATGTATCTGACCTTTTATCATATGTATTTGTTATGTTATTACAATGTATCTGACTATTTTCATATGTATCTGATTTACATGTATACATTGAAAAGAATTTTGAGTTTTTTGAATTTTTTTTAGGAAGTTGTTATGCTACAGATTCTCAAAAGCTATTAAAGGATGATTTATTTTTTCATGTATCTAGCTCTCACATACGTATATTTGGAAGTGGAAGCTTGGAATTCATAGAAACAAAATCGAATTTTCCAAAAGAAAGTTGTTAACTTTGTTGTTGCTCGAAAATAAATGGAAGAAATTAGTTTGTTTTTTTTTTTGCATTTTTTAGAAGTTGTTAGACGAGACATACTCAAAAGTTGTTAAAGGAATGATTTCCTCCTTAAATTAAGCATTTTAGTTATAATCCTTAGTTAAATATACTTTGCCAATTTCTGAGATACATGTATTTGTCGAGTTAAGTACATGCATCCAACCAACGAAATGCGATACAAAAAATAATATTTGAAACTATTGTGAATATTAGTAATTAGGACCTACACTAGTGAAATTTATGTTATTTGCTCCTCAACAAATACAAAATTTATGACGATCCGATAAGATTTATTTGCCAATCGGACATGATAAATACGTTGAATACAATATATATATATATATATATTTATTTATTTTTTGTCATTAATTACGTGTCACAAACTTATATATGTTTGTAGCTCGATCATATATAATTTAAGAAAAATTTCAATATGACAAATATGTTAAGTATATCATAGTTCTTAAGTTTGTTTTTTTTTAATGACTCTAAAATCACAAGAAAAATGTATCATGGATGAAATAAAAAAATATATAATGTATAATGAATAAAATGAAGTAAGTCAAGTAGACACACATAAAAGAAAATAAATGAAATAACTAAACTAGGTAGCACAAGTAACAAAAAAGAGTTGAAATCGATCTAGTATGGTTTGTTAGGTGTCAATTGTCATGTCGAGTAGGACTCTGTTCAAAGAATCGAAATCAATAACTCCAATATAATTTTTTTTTATTAATATATCGATAATGGGTTATGATTTAACGACTTTGATAACGATTTTGATTTTTTATTTATTTTCGGGTTATCAGTTCTTATCGATTTGAGGTTTTTTCTTAATGAGTTAACTGATAATTCGATTGTAAATTAATTAATCATATTTATACCATTTGGCATATAAAGTCCTTGACTTAGGATTTAGTTTCATATTTTTATTTTGGCAGTCTAAAAAAACTTTCGGTTATTTTACAATGTGTTACTGTTGCTTTTGAGCAAAATGCAATCTATCAACTCATTTGCACGATTTATTTGGTTTGTCACAATGTTTCCAAGTGATTTTCAATCATTTAATTTTTGTGTCAAATTAACGATTAATATATAAGTAATAAATCTAGTATGATTTGTGAGTTGTCAAGTCGGATTGTTATGACCTGCTATACGAGTTCGACATAATTCAATAGTTTATACACGAGATAAGCCATGTAATATATAAATAATTTATTCAAAACTCGGGCTTACCACCCATGCCATGCTAGGCGAAGCCTGTAAAAGCTTCATCCTCCACAGACTCAAAAGTTATACTAATATTGACTACACATTGTATGGTTATCTCTTACAATTATGCAAAGAACATTGCTTGATTCGTCAAGGCAAACAGCTCCATGCCCGTCTTGTTCTTTCCTCAACGATCCCCAACAACTTCCTTGCCTCTAAACTCATCAATTTCTACTCAAAAAACGAACATTTAAAAGAAGCACACCATGTGTTTGATGAAATACCTGAGAGAAATACATTTTCTTGGAATGCCCTTCTAATTGGTTACTCTTCCAAGAATTACCATGTAGAAACTCTCAAGTTGTTTTCTTTGTTTTTATCTGAGAATTTTGAGACATCCCATGTGAAGCCTGATAATTTTACAGTGACTTGTGTGTTAAAAGCTGTTTCTGGGATGTTGGGGGACTCTGTTTTGGCTAAGATGATTCATTGTTATGTTTTAAAAAATGGGTTTGATTCGGATGTGTTTGTATTGAATGGTTTGATTAATTCTTACTCGAAAACGGGTGATATGGTATTGGCGAGAAATGTGTTTGATGAAATTCCTGAAAGGGATGTAGTGTCGTGGAATTCAATGATATCGGGTTATTTTCAATGTGGGTTTTATGAGGAATGCAAAGGATTATATAGAGAAATGCTGCATTTAGAAAAGTTTAGACCTGGTGGGGTTACGGTAGTGAGTGTTCTACAAGCTTGTGCACAGTCGAATGATCTTATGTTAGGAATGGAAGTTCATCAGTATGTTATAGAAAACGGGATTGAACTTGATATTGCAGTTTATAACTCGATTATTGCGCTGTATTCAAAATGTGGTAGCTTGGACTATGCAAGAAACCTTTTCGAAGAGATGGGTGAGCCGGATGAGATAACTTATGGTGCAATGATTTCAGGCTACATGATTTATGGATTTGTTGATCAAGCTGTTAATCTTTTTCAAGAAATTGAGAAACCGTGTCTGAGTACTTGGAATGCTGTGATAACAGGTCTAGTACAGAATAATTTGTACGAGCAAGCTTTAGAGTTCGTTCGGAAGATGCAGTTATCAGGTGATCAACCTAATGCCGTGACTCTCTCGAGTATTCTTCCGGGAATTTCCGATTTAGCATTTGCAAAAGGAGGGAAAGAAGTGCATGCCTATGCCATTAAGAGTGATTGTAATCAAAATATCTATGTCGCAACTGGAGTTATTGATACCTATGCAAAACTGGGGTTTATTCAATCAGCACGGCAAGTTTTTGATCACACGAAAGATCGGAGTGTCATTATTTGGACGGCAATTATCTCAGCGTATGCTAACCATGGAGAAGCCAAGGCTGCACTTGATCTATTTAATGTGATGCTGAGTCATTGCATAAGGCCAGATTCCATTACATTTACTGCCGTATTGGCAGCCTGTGCCCATTCAGGACTGATTGAAGAAGCTTGGAGAATTTTTGAGTTGTTGGAGAAGTATGGAATTCAGCCTCCGGATGAACATTATGCTTGCATGGTGGGGGTTCTAAGTCGAGCAGGAAAGCTATCTGAAGCAGTTGATTTCATCAGAAAGATGCCAATCGAACCCAGTGCAAGGGTGTGGGGTGCACTACTTAATGGTGCTTCAGTTTATGGTGACTTTGAAGTTGGTAGACTTGCATGTAGTCATTTGTTTGAAATGGAACCCGAAAATACTGGAAACTATACCATCATGGCAAATTTATATTCAAAAGCTGGTAGATGGGAAGAAGCTCAGGAGCTTAGGAAGAACATGAAAATTCTTGGATTGAAGAAGATTACCGGTAGTAGTTGGATGGAAACATGTCAAGGCTTAAAAAGCTTTGTAGCAACAGACGAATCAAATGAAAAGTCTGGAGAGGTTTATGGGGTACTGGAAAGATTGCTTGGTTCGATGAGGGATGATGGTTACGTAATGATGGATGAATTTAAGGAGGAAACCATGTGACAAATCTGCTGCGATGAGCAAGAGGTTGCCGTTAAGTAGTTTTCTGGGCTTCATGCAAGCAAGATTATAGGGTTGCCATCAACTCTGCTGTGTCATTATTCAGAAGAATGCCTTGTCTTATCGTGATGAAGTAGACAGTCATTTAGCAAGCATTAATACTCTTCCTGTAGTGATAGCCTGAAGTCATTCTGTGGAACTCAAGACGCAACATTTCAAGCGGTAGAAGTGCTCAAGAAAGAATTCAAATATGGTGTAAGCGTGTAACTAGTAAACGAAGAGACATGTTCAAAAGCACAAATCGAAACCAGAGGGTATTTTGATGTAAACACATTTATGCTCCCCTGGGAAAAATATTTGTCGTTCAGTTGATGAAATACTTTGGAGAGAGGATCACCAGCTTCTGGAAGGCCTTTTGGAGGTCTAGCACTAGATATTCTGGTATGCTGGTATCAATAATGTACTATACAGTATACACATTGAGTAGTAACTACCTTTTCTGATGGGCTTTGATACTTTCAGCGTGTACATGTGTGTCCCCTGATTTCTTTTTTTAACGGAAGTATAACATACAAAAACCAGTGTAAACTAGCATGAACTCCAATTTCTGTGATGATTTTTCTATGTTTCCCTAGAAATATGTGATCTTACAACTGTTAGGTTAATGGGGAACATTTTTGAAGCAGGAGCTTCATCTACTACCTTTCTGTGAGACTATTCCTTTAGTATGATCACACAAGTAATGTAAGTTAATGGAAAATTTGTTATAATGCAAGTTGAATATTCTTTCATTTTCTCTGTTGGGAAGTGGGGAAGGTTGTTACCATCTATGTTTCTTCCCTCGTATGGCGTTTTTACATGTTCAAGATACAATCAAAGTGCTTATTTATTTGATTTGACTTATCTTATATTGTTTAAATTACCAAGTTGCTTGACCTTTGTTTATACTACTCGAATATCTGAAAGTTGTTTATCCTTCAGAATCTCACATTTGGAAATTCTTCATTGCAGTTGCTGCACCGCCACGCCCATCCCAACAATTATAATTATTCATCCAAGTGACTGATGCATCAGACAATTCGTGATCCTAAGCTCTGTCTACGTGCAACCTAGCAAGTATAAAGATTTCAGCTTTTTATGCAGGGAATGTTTCACAAGTTGTATTTACCATTCTTTTTCACAAGAAGGTGCACAGAGCCCAAAAAGCAGCTGTGAGAGATGAAAAGGGTAAGTGACAAGAGCCCTTGATAAGTGCAGGCTACAGTGGGGAATAACTTGCACCTGACTAAATTATTATAACTTTGTTTGTAGGGCCAAAAGGTGTACATATTTTTCCATGAATGGGCCAAATTGATATTTTTGCTCTTATGCTTGTTGTTTTTCACCATGTTGTTAAACAGAGATAATGAAAAGAAAGGAATTATTGTAGTTGTATAAACTGGACACATGCTTCTGGACAAAGGCTAATATTCCCAGTCATTCCCTTCCATTCTACTCTACCTAACTCATCTCCCTAGACTTTTCCAAAACCACATCTCTGTCCCCAATACATTCACTTAATAATGCATCTTTCATTATTACTTTTTTGATAACCAGTGGTTCAGTTTGTGTGCACCTCGACTATTTCCGCCAGCACAAATATATAATAACTATGTCCACCAAGACTTGAACAGATGAGAATATACCTTTCTCGGCCATTTCGCTAAAGATCAAGTATAGTTTCTATTCTTATCAATTTAATCATGCACCTTTCTTTTCTAACCAATTTTTTTAGCTTACTGTCCTCTTGTCCCATGATATGCTGAAAATGTCAAATCCATTGATGTACTACAAAAATGCCATTTACTTTTTCACTAAGCCTAAACAGATCAGAATGAATACAAAGGTCTATATGGCTGATCTTGATTAGTTTTTTTATTGAGGCACAATTGGTTGATTGATCGATTCTATATTTACTACGAAAAAGATAATATTGTTGTAAAATGAACTAATTTTTGTATATAAGTGAAGAAGGGTAGAGGATCAGTCCATCATTCTCGAATTTCGAAGGTTGTGGTTGGACGGCTCCAAACAGATTTCTCAGACATCTTAAAAAGGTTAAAAGAAATTACTAGAACCATTTCTCAACCACCTCCCACCCCCACCCCCACCCCCACCCCAAAAAAAAAGAACTAGAAAACTAGTACTAATACTTGGGATCTTCAATTGATTGTGTGAAGCCCACTGGCTGTGTTTACTCTATTTTTAGTCTAAAAGTGATTGCACCACTATAGGTTCCAATCCATGTTCCTCTTTTTCTTTTGCCTTTACTTTTTCCTTTTCTATATAACTCTTTGCTTTAGTTAAAAGCTTTAGAAGAACAACTTTTGTTAATTGACTAACCATCATTGCAATTTGCAAGATTTGTTTGACAATTTATTTTATCTCCTTTTCTTGGTGTTGCTTGCCACAAAATATCAATAAATTTACTCCCTTCCCTAAAAATATTTTCTTGTATGTCTTAAAAAATAATTCAACTCTAAAAAATTTCAATTTTATACTTAATGAGATGATTTTGGCCACAAAAATATCTAAGCCTTGTTGTAAACAACAATTTAGAAGTATTCGCTCTAGCTTGATCATAGATTTTGAAGTTAAAACTTGGAACATGAATATTTGAGTTTTTACAACAATTTTAGAAGTCTTCGCTCTAGTTTGATCATAGATTTTGAAGTTGAAACTTAGAACACGAATATTTGAGTTTTAACAACAATTTCAGAAGTCTTCGCTCTAGTTTGACCATAAACTTTGAAGTAGAAACTTGTAACATGAATATTTGAGTTTTTGAAGTTGTATTTAGACTTGTATTTTCTTGGGAGAAAATTGAAGTTTTGTGAGGGAAAGTTTTAGTTTTTTGGGGAACTTGAAAATATATGAAGATCGAATTTTTAAAATCTGATCAAATTTCATGGTCAAACATATATTTATGGTCAAACACTCGGTTTATTCTTAATCTCCACACTTAATCAAACAATACCACATAAATTCAGAACATATTTCACTTAGATCTATAATAATAATCCTATGTGATTTGTCCAAGCAATTTGAGTCCCTATAAATCCCACACATCCCAAAAAACTCCCAAAACTTTCCCACCAAACAAAGCACATGATCTCCCATCATGGAAAAATTAGATCAAATTCCGTTAGAAACCATACTCATGTCTACACTTTCCACCTTCACTTCTCATCAACTTTCAGATCTAACACTTTACTTCTCCTCCCTCCACCACCACCATCACCGCCGTATTTTCTCTCTCCTCTCCTCTCCGATGCTATTTTCTCTCACCTTACACCACCTTCACTCTCTCTCTCTACACAACAAATCCCTCCTCATAGCCAAACACCTTTTGTCTAAACTAGCAATTTTCACTCATTTCATGCATAATGATACAATCTTGCCACCACCATCAACCACCTCTATGAAACACCGCGATTTAGACGCGGTTCTCCTCCTCCTTCTTCTATGTGAACTACGCCAACATGATCCGGAAGCACTCGATATACCTCCATCAAGGTACGTGTTAGATAGTTTGTAATATATATGTTATAAAAATAACAGAAATTAGCAACAGACAACTTCTATCGTTTAAAACAATAAAAATTGTTATTGGTTATAAAAATCTATAGATCTTTTGTCATCCTATAATATCTCTTTAAGGACATTGATTTTTTACCTACTTCAAAAACTTCTATTGATTCAATTTATTTTTATCCTAGCAGGTGGCGCGTTGTTATTTGTCAATACATAGCTAAAGATGCACTAAAATTCTCTAGCATTAGTTGTTCCAACAGAGAAGTCATAATGAAGTTTATTGAGCTGCTGGCAAAGTGCAAGAATTTTGTCAATGCCATGATTCATACAGGTATATATGTATAGTGACATATTTATGTTTATTTATTAAAGAAAGAGATGGATTGAATTGAATTCGTCGGGTATTTTTATATTATTAGGTCATTTTTATCAATTGTAACAGGTTATTATTGACGAGTCTTATTTTCAACATTACAAATAAGAAGGCTTGCTTGTAGATATATTTTTTGGGTGATCACATGATAGTGTAAAAAAAAAATAGTCTTGATTGAATTGCGTATAGGACCAAAACGAACTACTTCTATTCTCGAAAATGAGATATATGAAGTATAGCTTTTTAGTCCCATTCGTCCAATGGTTAGGATGTCATTAGTTTATTTTATGTCGAAGACACGGGTCCAATTCTCGTAAGACATAAGTTCCTGGGGTTCTTGTGAATTATGGCCAATATTGGGTATATAACCAGTGATTCAAATCCAAAGGTTAATCGTACTTTGGCAACTTTACATATAGAAGAGGTTGATTTTCTTGGGTTGATAGTGAAAAAGTTGGCAAGTACGTCACCTTGCCACGTTGTAGAATCGTACATGAGATTTTCAATTCATACGACTTCTCATTCAATTCTTTCAAATTCATTGCATCCTTTTCCATGTTCGAGAATCCTTTTTCTTCCACTTTGCTTCGAAGAGTAATTAGGGCAAATTAAGTCATTTTACATTAGAAAATAACTAATGAGTGACTGCTCGTTATCTGGTTAGAAAAGATGGTCCAAAAGCTTAATTAATAATATTATAAATTGAACTTATCATTTCAAAGAACTAATCAGAATCTTGAATTTACATATATTAAATATTGAATCCGCTTCTAATGCAGGTAATGGTATTGGGGGAAAAGATAGGAAGGAGGTGGCAACATCAATAGCAATAGTGGTAGCACTACCATCAGTAGAAGCGAGCAACGACAACGACGGGAGGAAGGAATGTGTTATATGTAAAGAAGAGATGAAAGAAGGGAGAGATGTTTGTAAATTGCCATGTCATCATACATTTCATTGGATATGTATATTGCCTTGGTTGAAAAAAAGGAACACGTGTCCATGTTGCCGGTTTCAGCTGCCGTCCGATGATGTTTTCGCTGAGATCCAACGGTTGTGGGAAGTTGTGGCCAAGATGAGTGATAGTGCAAAGTTTTTAGGAATTAGTAATTGTAATTAGTTTTTAATTAAGTAAAAATAATCTTATAAAATTAGCACAATATAGCTACTTATGTTTTTTTTTCTTCAAGTAATAAAACACTACATTTATCATATGTTATAAATCAATACTATATACATTATCAGTTATACCTCAAGTTCCAAAATTGGTTGAGAATTTACTTATATTAATGAAAAAACTTGTTTGGTTAAGTCTATAAGTTATCACGCCCCAATTTCGGAAGACGTGATTGGCACTCCGTACTTTACTTGAATTAGGGGTGGGCGTTTGGTTATTCGGTTCGGTTTTTCAGTTTTCAGTTTTAGAAAAGTGTGCAACGTATGTTAAACCAAACTAATTTGGTTCGGTTTGGTTTAGTTCAGTGTTGTTTTTAAATCGGTTTTTTGGTGTGAATGAAAAATAAAATAAGGATAAAGTATAAGATACTTAGAAATTTAAAACTATGTTAAGGAATGATGCGTATTACAGTGGAACACTTATTGTGCTAACTAAGAGACTATATTTATTTTTATCAAGAACATTGAGCCTCCAACAATTTATCGAGAAAACAAGTATGAAGATGGTAGAAATATGTTTGAGTTTCAATTGGAAATTAATATTTCAAATTAACTATTGAATTGTACATTTGGTGTTACTTTGATTTGTTCATGAATGATTAGTTGTTGATTGAATTTTTAATTTTTAGTTAAGAGAATGCCCATATAAAATAATATTTTAATTTTTAATTTTTTTAAAATAAAAGTTCGGTTTTTCGGTGCATCGAAATTTTGAGACCCTTACACCGAACATCGAACCAAAGAACTGAACTTTCGAAAAAATAACACTGACACCGAATCGAAAAACCGAAACCGAAGAACCGAATTAGTTCGATTCGGTTCAATTTTTCGGTTTTCCGGTATTAACTTGAACTTGAGCAGACATAGCTTGGCATATATGTTACTAGACATACACAAATAGACATGTTAATTACAGAAGATAAGACATGAATGCTCAGAGAGTTTTGTAGGTTAAGATAATCTCATCAGTATACAAGTTGACAAGACCACCATGATCTTTATAACAACGACAAATACAAGAAAATTAAATAAGGACCGACAAGACCACCATGATCTTTATAACAACGACAAATACAAGAAAATTAAATAAGGACCGACAAGACCACCATGATCTTTATAACAACGACAAATACAAGAAAATTAAATAAGGACCGACAAGACCACCATGCGTATAAAATATTTAATTAAGATAAAAAAAAAAATGTTTACTTTAGATAAGTTGAAGGATCAAAATTATTTTAAGTGATACTTAAAGGACTATTTACAACCTACTACTAAAAATAAGGGACCATTTTTGTTATTTTTCTTCATCTTCCCCACAACGCCTCAAATTTTCTGGTTTTCGTTCAGTTCGGCCTGAGAAGGAATTTCTACCTCAACGATGGCGGAATAAACAAAGGTACATTTTTTCCGTTTAGCTATTGATTTTGAAGTTGAAATTTGAAAATTTGTGTTTTCGATGTTGTGATTTTTAGAACTTGATGTTATGTTTGGACGTATAATTTTTGGAATTTTTGTGAATGAAAGTGAAATTTATCCCTAAAACTGTTGATAATCTGATCTAATTTCACGATCAAACAGGTATTTGAAGATGAAATTTTCAAAATCTGATCTAAAATGTAGGGCGAAAGCTAGCTAGAATTTGATTGACTGGATCCCGTACATATCCAGATCCGGATCTAGATTATAACAAACAAATTCACGTTAACTCAGTAATAATTTTGCTAAGATTCGTAAATAGGAAGGTATGGAAATCGATGATTCTAGTGGATGGTTACTGGTAGTCAAGTGTTGCTGGGAGAGGCAGGAAACTAGCCTCATCCCCTTCCCTTCTATTAGTAGTTCTAGTTCGATGTGCGATACTATCAGCTTATTTTGCTATAGTATTTTTCCTGCTTCGAAAAATTCTCTTTTGAGCTAGGGTCAATCGAAATCCATCTCTCGATCCCACAAAGATAGGAGAAAGGTGAAATGGAACTATCCTTGCGACTTCTTCCCTAGATGCCTTCCTTCCTTGAGGGAAGTTCTCATTCGAGGATTTGAGAGGATTCTCATCCGGCTCTTAATCAGCTTAAGGAGTACAAGAGGTCTCACTCGGCGGAGCAGTAAGCAATTTACCTACGCTAAAATCAAATGATACTGAGTCATTGGAAATGTCTATGTACATTTTATCGTCCTCAGACCTACTTGTGGCACTACAGGATATGATGTTGTTGTATCTGTAAATATGAACCAGACCATAAACTTCAAATCCTAAATCCACTTGTGTGCGATATCATAGTGTCAGTGTTGAGTTGGCATGGCTACAGAGGCAAAAGTGCTGAGTCTGAGTAACTTAGGTCACATACAACCGGAAAAAAAGAGAGGTCTGCCATGTATTCGATATAATTACTGTGTTAATAAATTGATTCTATCTTTCCGGTTCATATATTTTGTTTTAATTAAACATGACCGTCCTTGGTAATCCAGCAATGTGTTGAAGTTTTATATAACATGAATAATTTCCTGGAAGAGATCCGTACAACCAAATGTCAGTTTTTTATATAAAGAAGGGAGGAGATATTTTGTTTTGATGATGAATATAGAGAAATGGGGAAAGAGAATCTGCTGTTTTTCAATGTTAGAAAAAGAAGAAGCTAATTTCCTCATGTGGCCCTCTTGTTTTCTTTCTTGTTGGATATCCAGAACAGTGTGTTCACAAACACAAGGTTGTGCCCATTCCACACGAGGTCCTCAGTTCTAGAATTAGAATAACCCGTCCTTCCTGATATCTAAAGGAGGTGGAGCTGCAACAATGGTCGTTGTTCGGTTTTACCAGTAGGAATGAGGCCAGACATCTTCCAAACTTGGTATATTATAATTGTGTTCAGATTCTAAGGACTAGTTATTCAAATCGTGGTTTTCTTTAGTTGTTCTTTCAATAAACTACTGCAACCACAACAACATGTCCGGGTGTAATTCCACAAGTGGGGCCTGGGGAGGGTACATTGTACGTAGACATTAACCCTACCTTTGTGCGAAGATAGATTGTTTTCGACAGGTCCTTGACTCAAAAGATTGCAATCAAAGAAGGATAGAAAGGAAAATAATGGCTGCCTTGTAATTAGTTGTACAATCTCTTTTTTCTCGTATATAGCTCATAGCTGATTGCCAAAACAGTAGCAAACTTCCTTTCCTTATGTACAACTGAACCAAGTATAAGAGTGCTCACCCTTGGGGGCGGATCTAGAGGCTTGGTTACAGTTTCACATGAATCCAATAGCTTTTGCGAAACTGTGTATATATATAGAAATATATTAAATATCTATACATATTTGACTATGAATCCAGTTATTGTTGTAGTAGTATAACTTGAGATTTTTTAAGGAATCCATAATTGTCAAATCCAGAATCCGTCCCTGCTCGTCCTGAAGATGCAATGGGAGCTTCCAGTGGACCAAGGCGGCTATCTGGTATGCAGAAGCAAGCACTTGCTCTATATAGAGGATTCTTAAGAGCAGCCCGCTCCAAGCCTGCTGAAGAGAGGAGGCAAATTGAGTCAGTTGTATCCAGTGAATTCCGCAAAAATTCCAAGCAAGTTGATCGTAAGAATTTTATTTATATCGAGTACTTACTTCGTCGTGGTAACAAACAACTTGATCAACTCAAAAGCCCTGATACAGTTGGATTGTCATCATTAAGTGTTGATTCTTCTTCACAAACAACAGGTTCATCCTCCTAGATTTTGTAAAGAAACCACTCCTTTTTCAACTTTTACAGGAGTTGGTTGATTATAACATCTCTTTTACTGGGATTATCGTAGGGTATTACTACTAGGATTCAGAAACATTTATATGGCGTTAAAGGGGATTTTCATCGAGGCTCGAGAGATGGAATAAATTACATTTACTTTTCTTCAATAAAAATTCAAGCTCGACTTGATAGTGTAAAAATTCTTTAGAAAAAATCATGCATATCCCATGCTTGAATGATAGTTTTTGTAATAGCGGATTTGTTTCATAATGTAAGATAACATGTATAGGTTAGCATTTTATCTATTTTACTTTTCTTCAAATGTTCTTACCATCACAACAACAACACTTTTTGATTAGAAGTTGAATCGATCATCAGAAGAAGAATTAGGATACATTCCGGGAAATTCAAACTTTCATAGAAGAGAAGCAAGTAAAAGGCTTTCATAATGATTCTCGTAGACTCGTGCAAGAAATTTTCATTCTATACATACTAGATCATGAGTAACAAAGTATGTATGGAGTCTGAAGTTAAAAGGATCACTTATCGAGAGGGAGGGACAATACTTTTGGTTAAAGTTGCGTTGTGTAGGGCCCCATTTGGGAAAAGTGTGTTCTATCAAGGATTTATTCATACTCATAGCTCAAATTCGAAAATTTTGATTAAGGAGGAGTAGCTCCACACTGCACCACATCATTTAATCGTCGTTTAGCAATTATACTTTAGAATAAATTCAACAATTTATGAATGAAATATTTTTTTAACTGAACTTATTAATGTGTACTGTCACTGCAACGTTAATGTGAAATTAACAGAAGAGGCAATTTATGGTGGGGGCCTAATGCACAAAACTCTGTCTCTGACTCTTTTGGAGTTTTTATTTCTAAACAGTAATTATTTCAAACTTGCACACTTTTTTTTTCTTTTGAATAAACAAAATTCTGCACCTCAAAAGTCATTTAGGAAAGAAAAATCTTCTTTTTTTTACTACTTCCTGTGTTCCAATTTTTATGTCAATGTTTTATTTCCTAGTCAGTTTTAAAAAGAATATTATATTTTTTATTTAAAAATAATTTAATTTTAAAATTTATATTTATACAGAATATCAAAATTTTATTTTAGATCATAAATTTAAAAAAAGTTACTCTATTCGTTTCAATTTATGTGGTATTTCTTATATTTTGAAATTTAAATAAATTTAGTTTTAACCACAATCTTTTTATATGTCGTTCTAAATATTTTAAATTATTAACTAATGTGACTTATAATACTTTTTACTTAGTTTCTAAGTATATAATTTTTATTTTTTAAGAAACTTAAATATTTCATGTCTAAATTCACATAAAACTTAAATCGTTCTCGAAATTCGAAATCCAGACTTTGTTAGGGAGCGCTTTAACATGTTGTCAATACATCCCTAGATACGGAATTGCCTTTGTTAGAGAGCGTTTCCCCAATGTGAAATTTTTCAACGCAAATTCAAATTTAATCGGGTTCTAATATAAGTACCAAACACTGAATGAAAAAAATAAATACATCCCTAACATTTCCTGACTTGTCACTAATAGTGTGACCATTTTTGTAAAAAAGAAAGAGAAGTTATTTCCCTCAGTTTTCCTTTTATGTTCTACTCCTCTTATTAAAAGATATTCAAATGTACAAACAAATTACTTTCTTGATTTTATTGGTTTAGAGAAAAAGATAAGAAGATGGCATTTGAAGAAAATACAAATGGAAAATTGAGGTATATAATTTAAACTCATTATTTTTGTTTCTTTTTTTGAGTTTCTTGTGCACATTTCTGTTATAGGGTTTAAGATCTTTACACAAATACAACAACAACATTTTCAGTATAGTCGAGGTTTTAGATGTACGCAGATTTTATCCTAAAACTGTTTTAAGTGTTTTTACACAAATAGTGGGTCAAAGTTATCATGTACTTTTATTTTTAATTGATATACATATATCATATCTTTATTGAATATGTTTAATTTTAATATTTTGGTGGACGGCTATTTAGATTAATTCTTTCTTTTTTTCCTCAGTGAGAAGAAAATAGAAGAAGAAGATAGTTTAAGCAAAGTGGAATGTCTAAGAGGGAGATTGCTTGCTGAAAGAGTGGCTTCAAGAATTGCAAAACAAGAGGCACAAAATATGGGAAACAAGGTTTCTAAATTAATTTCCATATTTTTTTCCAAAAAAAAAAAATGGTTGGTCCATACATTGGAGTGATTTTTGAAGATGACAACTCATGAAAAATGTGAAATTTGAAAAAAAAATAATAAGTTTTTGTTTGAAAAATAAAAAAAATGATATTTAAAAATTAAAGTTATGTTTGATCATGAATACAAATTAGATTTATTTCTGATTTTTTGTAAGTGATTTGGAGTGAAACGTCAACTTTATAATGTGAAGTTGAATTTTGAAATTTTTCAAAATTTTATGGCCAAACATGATTTTCTGAATTCAACTCTAGAAAAAAGTATAAAACATTCATGGTCAAACGATGACTAAATACAGTCCAAACACAACTTTAATTTTTAAATACTTTTTTTTAATTCAACTTCAAATACTATTTATTTTTTAAATATTACAATTTTTATGTCCAAACGCCTACTAAAATATCAAACAAACTTTTTTTTTTCAAATTCAGAAAAAAACTAATTTTTTTTTTGGGCAATTTGGAGTAACATTAGTATAATTCTTTGTAAAATTTCAGATGATTGAGCTAGAGACTAAGTTGAAAGAAGAGACAAAATCAAGAAACAAAGCTGAGAAGAAGATTAAATTTCTGATAAAGAAACTTGAGTCCAAAAGTATATCTTATAATATTTCAGATGATAATGAGTGTCAAGAATCTGTTGGGAGTACAAAATCCAGCTATGAAAATGTTGGAAACAATTGTTCTAGTCTATGTTGTTTGGATTCTCAAAAAATATTGTCGCACTCATATCAGATTTTTCAAAACTACACTATTTTTAAAGAATTCGACATGTATTCAAAGACACTGAAGAATCCGAGTAACATAGCTTCTTGCCAGGATAATGAGAATACTACAGGAAAAGAACATTGTGCAAAATCAAGGGAATTTGAATTCTCAATATTAGATGGCAATAGGTATGTATACTCTTCAACTTGTTACTCTCACTGTGACTCTCTCTCATTTTATAAGAGTTAGTTTGCCTCGACACAAAATTTAAGAATTTTTATTTTTTGAAACTTGTGATCTAAAATAAGTGATAAATATTTGTGTGGCGTAGAATGAATATTTTAAAGTTAAACTGTTACTTAATTTAGAAATGTGTCATTCTTGTTTGGATTGACTAAAAAAAAAGTGAATCATATAAACTGGGACAAAGAAAATATTACACTGATATTGTTAAAATTGTTTTCACTATTAGTTTGTTTTAACATACAAATTACATTATTTTTTATGTTATAAATCTCATTTGTTATAGATCGGTTACCTATAGTTATCTTTTAAACTATGTTTGCTTGAGACCTCTAAAAATGTTGTTGCATCAGTATTAGATCTTCCAAAAAAACATAACTTTTGAAGGATCCACCAGACACCAACCTATGTTGTTGGTAACCTTAAAGAAATTTGTCGCAAAACCTTTGTCAGATCCTTCAAAAAATACATAGTTTATGAAAGATCCTAAACTGACATACACCTAACGATATTTTTAAAGGGTACGAGCAACAAAGCAACCATCAGCATTTTTGAAAAATCAAACCAACATAACTTTTGACTTACCTAATAGTGTTAGATCATCGATGCATAGAAGTTAAAGTCATACTTAACTTGCAAATAAAGCATAATGTATCTTTTTTAAGGTTTTTTTTTTCATGTGAAAACAATCAAAATCTCATAACATTATTGTTATTATGATTCTAGTTTGAAATCTTCAATTGAGGAGGAAGAGAAAGATGAAGGAAATCAAGTGGACAATTCATTGGCATTAGTTCCTATGGAGAATCCAAAGACAAAGCAAAATATTGATCCAATTGTTCTTGATGCTACTGTGAGAGAAGTTCTTGATGCACTGAGGCATGCTAGAGAGAAACTTCAGACTCAAATGGAGAGAAGGCAATTGATTAAAGCTAGTTAATCTTTATGCAGAGGCGCGGAATCAGAATATGAAGTTTATGAGCTTATGTTTTTAGTCCTTTAAAGTTAATAGGTTCTATATTAATAATTTGAGTATATTTACTGGATTTTTCAAATATAAATATTAGGAACCAAAGTGACTAAGTTTAGCCGAATTCCTCTCCTAACTCCATGTTACTCGGACTTTTCAAAAGTACTACCAGGTTTGTGTCGGATATTCTTCCAAAACCTAGTGTATTCTTGAAAAATTTAATATAGATATAACAATATTTTTAAAGAGTCGGAATAAACATTATTAGTTAAGCTTCAATATCCATTAATTAATTTTGCTTTTTATAGGTGTCATATGGCATGCATAATGTGGCTCATGTCCCACCAAAGTCTCTTTTTTCTGCTCTTTACATGTTGATTCAATAATTTTGTTCCTAACTTTGAATTTGTTTTGAATATGTATCTTATTACTTTAAAAATCAGTAATGAAAGAAAAAAGATTAGAATCTCAATTCTTGAATTCATAAACTTTAAATTTCAACTCCGCCTCTCATGGCTAAGTGTATGTTGCAAGATTGTTGAGTGTGGTATTGTCGTACAAAAAAAGTTCTACATATAGGTTAATGAAGCATTTAAGTTGAGCTTGCATTTTGAATTGGTTGGTGCATTTCAAATTTTGAGTTTGGTACTTGTTTTTTTTCTTGTAAATAAAGGTTGACAGCTTGCCATTGTGTGATAATAAGGAAATAGGTGATCGACTTTCTAGTTCATATTCTAGTGTGACTAGCCAAAATAATAATAGTTTTTAAAAAAGTTAGCAATACAAACATATAACAATATATTTAGTATAATCTTATAAGTGAAATTAAAAAGGATAGAGTGTACGTATATCTTTCTTTTGGTTTCTCATATGGTGTTCATTTGCGTCAGGAAGTCTCACATTAGAGGGTAAAGTGCTTCCTAACAAAGGCGACTCCATACTTAGACAACTCGAACTTGAAATCTCTGGTTAAGGATGAAGAAATATTTACCACTCTAACACAATCCTTGTTGGTTAGTGTACGCATATCTTATTTCTACCTTATAGAGATAGAAAAACTATTTTC